GAGAGGAGAGGAGGAGGAAGGAAGGAGGAGGAGGAGGAGGAGGGAGGGAGGGGGAGGGGGGGTTAAGGAAGAAGGAGGAAGGAGGGAGGAGAGAGAGGGGTGGGGGGTAGGAAGTCTCTGGTAGTTCACCATCTTTCTCGTGGGGGAGGACCCAGCAGTTGGTCTGCCCGTACCTGCGATGAAATTTCAGCCTGAAGAAGAGAAGAGAGTGGAGGAAGAGGAAGAGAAGGGAGTGGAGGAAGAGGAAGAGAAGGAAGGAAGGAGAGAAGGAGGGGTTTACATGGTTTCGGGACGGAGAGTAGCGGCGAGGAGAACAACTTTCTTGCCCTCGAGCTGCGTGCGAGTAAGCGGAAGAGGAGAGGGAGGCAGGAGGACGAGGAGGAGAGAGGAACAAGAGCAGGAGGAGGAGCAGGATGGTAACGAGGAAGTGGAATCAACTTGCTGCAGCGCCGGGGGCAAGGTAAGAATCTCCATCTTGATGAGGACGTACTCCTGCGGTCCAACTCCTTCGCCTACAAGACAGCAGGGGTGACGAGGGAGAGGAGGAGGAAGGAGGGGTACAGAAAGGCAGCGGGGAAGAATGGAGGAGGTGGTGGAACAAGAAAGGAAAGAGGAGAATGAGGAAAAGCAGAGGGGATAGCAAAGGGAGAAGTTCAGGGAGCAAATGAAAAGGAAGACAGTGACACGGACGAGGAGGAGCAGGAGCAGGAGGAAGAGGGAGGAGGAAGAGGAGAGGGAGGAGGAGAGGAGGAGGAGGAGGAGGAGGAGGAGGAGGAGGAGCATACCAGTAGCTCTGTCATGATCTGCACAGATCTGGTTGTCGATAGGGGAGAAGATGGAGTAACGCTTGCCGAAAGAAACCTTCTCGAGCTTGCTGGGGGAGTGTGAGAGCAGCACGGGAGGGAGGGAGAGGAGGAGACGAGCGAGAGAGGGAGAGAGAGGGAGGGAGATAAACGAAGTGGAAGTAGGAAGACGGAGAGGGAGGAGGAGAGGAAGGGGAAGGAGGGAGCGGGAGGAGGAGCGGGAGAAGTTTGAAGTCACCGGAGCTTGTGGAACTGCCACTGAATGAAAGAATCGTAGTAGGGGTTGACGTTGGTGGTAATGAACGACCTCCTCCAATCCACCTAAACCCTCGAAATGATTTCCTTTCCCCTTCAAATCTGTCCTTCCCTTCCCCCTCGCCTCTCCTCCCCCTCTCCTCTCCTCTCCTTCCCTCCTCCTCCCTCTCTCCACTTCTTTCCTTTCCTCCCTTCTCCTTCCTGTTCTTGTCTCTGCTCCTCTCCGTCTCTGCCGCTCCCCTCGCTCCCTTTCATTCCGCCTCCCACTCCTCTTGTCCCACCTTCACGCCCATCTCAATCAAGTCCTGCTTGGCGATGGGAGGGAAGTACTGCAAAGGCCCGTCGTGAACATGAAGGGAACAAGCAAAGGAGGAGAGAGAAGGAACGAAGAGAAGGAAGGGGAAGGAAGAGATGAGTAGGAGGGGACGATGGAGAAAAGGACAGGAGAGGAAGAGGAGGAGGAGGACTCACTTGAAGCCAGTAGACAGGATCGACGAAGCGAGGGATAGTTTCTCTAGGAATGTCCATCGACTCCAACACCTGCCATCTGAACCAAACGTGTCAAAGTCTCTCAGATCCTGCTCCTGCTCCTCCTCCTCCTGCTGCTCATGCTACCCGTTCCCCTTCCTCCTCACTCCTCCGTTTCTTTTCTCTTCTCTTCCCTCCATCCTTCCCTCCTTCCGCTTCTCCCACCCCGCCGACTTACTGGTTTCCCTTGCCCTTCTTCGCAGCTGCCTTGCTCTTCTTGCCCTTGAACTTGGTCGGGTCCATTTCTGCTTCCTCCTCCTGCACATCAACTTCAACACTACTTCATCCCCCAGGTCAGCAGCACACCTCCTTTGAAGCCTCAGCATCCGCCTCCTTCTCCTCCTCCTGACTGACTGTCAGCACCGTCACCACCACATCCTCCTCCTCTCACCCCTCCGTAGATCTCCTGGTACATGCCGATGATGTCACGTCCTGCACCCTGCGCTCAGCCTAATCCCTCAGTCGCCTCCTCCCTCTCACTCAAGTTGTCTGCTGCCGCCTGGATCGGCATGCCCGTGCAATGGAAGCCAAACGGCCAGAGCGTCTTCTTGCCCTTGAGCCTCTCGTACCCTGCGCGGTCGTCACGGGGAAGAGAGGAGGGAGGAGGGAGAGCAGGAGGATAGGGATGGGAGCGCACAGCAGTCAACAAGGGCGGGCTACAAAAAGAGCAGAGTAGAGGAGAGAAGGGGAGAACGAGGAGGAGGAGGAGGAGGAGGAGGAGGAGGAGGAGGAGGAGGATAGAGGGCTAGCAGCAGGAGGAGGAGGAGATTTCCCACCCATGGAGAACTCTGTCTTGGAGAGCGAGAAGGTGTGGCCCAAGTGAAGGAGGCCGTTCATGTAGGGGTAGGGGAAGGTAACGAAGTGCTTCTCCTGCTCCTCCCTCAGTCACCGTCACCCGCATGAGGAGGTGACTCACTGGAGCTGCCGAGCCAGGAGCAGGAGCGTCCATCTCGAACGCCTTCTCCTCCTCCCATCGCTTCTGGGCCTGTGAAACTGGGGATGAGGGGAGGCGGAGCTCTTCCATGCAGACTGACCTGCTTCTGGATCTCGATGAGCTTGTCCCTGCGCGCGAAAGACTGCAGGATGAGAGTAAGAGGAGGGAGAGGGCGCGGAAGCTGCAGCAAGAGGAGGATACGGAGCAACAAACGTCCACGTCATCGTATGGAGCAGGAGCACTTTGTGACAACCACAATGGTGTGAGAGCTACCACAAGGGCCAGAAGGACATATGACTAGGAGAGGAAGGAGGAGCATCTTCCCCAGCATACAAACCAAGCTACAGAGTGCAGAGAAAACAATCTAGCAGTATAGCCCTCAAGTGAAGACGAGCAAGAGGCGGAGGACGAGGACGCTGAAGAGGAGCAGGGGCAGGGGCAGGGGCAGGAACAACAGGAGCAGGAGCATGATGATCATGACCAAGCGTGCATGGGCAGTAGGAGGAGGAGGAGGAGCTGCTGCATGCCGACAAACTCACTTTCGCTCCCTCGTTGGTCGCCATGGCTCGTGAGATTCCCTAAAAGTGTTGTAATTTAAAAATCAATTTATTAATACATGACCCCCTACCCCCCTCTTTCCCATTCCTCGTAGGCCCCCTTAGCAACATCTACCCTGTACCCCCACATTCACGTAAAAGTACCCCCTACAATATAACCCCACCCCCTCTGCGACCGACATTCACCAACACCCACATCACTCAACACCCCTACCTCATCCTATACCCTCGAAACCACCCCTACCCTGCCTCTATTTCTGGAATGCTGGCGATGCTGTTCAACGTGGGAGATGGCGAGAGGGCGACGATGCGGAAGATGCAGGTGAGCAAGAAGATGAAGAAGTCAGGAAGAAGTGACGGCGAAGTGAAATGAAATCAGGAAGGAGGCGAGGAGAGAGGAAGGAGAGGGAGCAACAGGAAGGAGAGGGAGCAACAGGAAGGAGTGGGAGCAACAGGAAGGAGAGGGAGCAACAGGAAGGAGGGGCAGGGGCATAAAAGGAGGGTTGCAAACATAGAAGATTGAACGAGGGTGAAGCAAGAATGAGGGAAGGGAGGAGCGCAGAGACAGGAGCAAAGGGCCGGCAGTGGGGCGGCCGGTGGAGAATAGATAGATCCTCTGAACTTATCAAGGACAATCAGAGAAAGATCGCTACCTTGTGAAGTAAGCTCCCTTGACATGTGCGGCTGATGAACTGTGTCAGATGCTCAAGAGCAGCTCGGGTTCGATGGTTCCAGGGTCTGACAACTACTGGAAGGCTCTGCAGCCCCACCGCAAGCTCGACCAGGTGAGAGTCTGAAGGAGAGGAGGGAGGAAGAGCGGGAGAGAGGGAGGGAGATGTCGTGAGAAGAGATGAAAGAAAGTCACGGTTACAGTTATGCAATGAGGGAGGGGTCGGGAGGAAGAAAGAAGGATAAAAGTTCTGTGGAAGGGTACAGTGGAGGAGAGAAGAAAAGTTTGGGGCGAAGGGAGGGAGAGGAGAGCAGTGGTGCAGCGAGGCAAGGAGCGGAGCTGTGAAGACTGAGTTGAAGTACAGGAGGAAGGGTTGTCTCAGTCGAGGAGGTTCATCATCCAGTCATACGGGGACGGCAACGGGCTCTGGGGATCGAAGAGTTCTGGTGGAAGCGACTCGAACTGGTAGAAAGTTCCTCCCCCCTCTTATTGTTTTGTAAATACCTACTCCATCCCTTCTCCGCCAGCACCACCACCACCACCACCACCACCACCTCCTCCTCCTCCTCCTCCTCCTCTTTATCCTCCTCCTCTTTATCCTCCTGCTTCTCTCTATGTACAAGTCTACAGCACTTCAGAACAGTCTGTTCCAGAAGGTAGCGTTCTGCGTTGAGATCGGGGCCTCGTGGTCCATGAGCAGCGCCGATGTCCGCGCAGACGCGTCCTCCCTCCCATCCTCCCTCACGGAGATGCGCGACAGGTTGAACTTGCCCAGCTCGGCAGGAGCCGGAGGAGGATCATGCGGGCTGTTCCCTGCCCGTCCCGCCGCCTGCCCCGCTCGGTCCGCTGTTTGCGCGCTCCTTCCCGCCATCGTCTCTGCCGCCGCGGCCACCATGTCCCTCTCCCGCCATGGATACTCCGACAAGTCAGAGCCTCCCCCCCCCGCCACGTCAGAGGACCAGATGCGGGAGGGGTCCGGGGCAGTGGGAGGGCGGGGGTGCGAGCCCCATGCTCCGAGGTCGCGCTCGTCGTCGATCCTCGAGGGTCTGTGAGGACGTTCCAGCTGCTTGTCCGACCCCTTCCTGTCCTTCTCGCTCGCTGCCGCCTTGTGTGACTTGCTGTGATGCTTCGCCTCCCCCTCCCCCTTCCTCGTCGGCGCCAGCAGCAGCTTTCCTCCCACCAGCGCTGGCATCCTCTCTGACATCGCCTGCCTGCCTTCCAGCTGCGACCGTCGGGACTGCTCCTGATCCTGCGCTGCCTCCGCCTCCTTGCGATCACTCAGCCCGAAGCGCTTGAGCTTGTGCATGAGGGAAGGCTCCTTCACAGCTTCTCCTCCCTCGGAGTCGCTCCAGTGCTTTCGTTCCTTCTTCCTCGTGCTCGGGTTCTCGTCGTCCTCCCTCCGCTCCGAGGATGCCTGCCACTCAGTCAGCCTCCTCCTCTCAGGCTCAAAAGGAAATCACGTGAGAATGACCAGAAGTGTCTGACACGTTTCCTGCTATGAATGTCAGTACCTCGTCCTCGTCCTCGTCCTCGTCCTCGTCCTCGTCCTCACCGTCGTTCAGCTTCCTCATCTCCAGCCCGTGCCATGCCAGCGCCTCTGTCTGGTTCACCCCGTTGGGTCCTCTGCCTCCCTGCTCCACCATCAGCCATGGCGGCACCAGCCTTGTCACTCTCACGTTCGCTCCTCTATCTCCGTTGGCTCTCCTTTCGCTACCGCTGCTGCATGGCAGGGTAAAGCAAGGAAACCGAGAGGAGGAGGAGGAGACAGGAGGAGACAGGAGGAGAAAGATCACCTCTTGTCCACATCCCCATCAGCGACGGAGGACGCTGGCGATCTACGAGGCAGTCACATCACTTGGGGTCAAACTCCACAGGGGTCAGGGCCTTCACCTCGGCTTGTTCTCCCAGGTACGAGGGAAGTTTGCTTTTTGCGAGATGAAAGTCATCGCCTTCCTGACCTGCCCACAACGGACGTCACTCGTTGTTGGTCGAGATTCATGCTGGGAGGTCAACCTGAGAAGCGACGTGGTTGTCCGTCCCATCCGATGAGTTCCCGTCCTCCATCCCGCTCTGCAGCTTCTTCTTGAACTTCTTGTACTTGGCCGCCATGGTGCCCATGAAGCCTTCGGAGTCGTTCTTGATCGGCGACTCGCCGTCGTCATGCATCTCTAAGATCGGCTGGCTCTGAGCCAAATCGTCTGACGACGAGGATCAGCAGGCAACTTGACGAGTCGCGGGAAGCGAGAAGACAAGGAAGGGAACTCACCGATGAACTCCCGCATCGCTACATGCATCCTCTCGTTCTCTCGCGCAGATCGCACCAGAGCAACATGCACGGCAGACGCAGCTTTCAAGGTCACCTGCGGCATCTTTCACCCCCCACGAGCTTGCTTTGCTTCCTTCCCAACCTTTTCACAAACTTTCGCCTGTTTCTCGAGCTCCTTCAGCTCCTCCTCGATCGAAACCATCACATCGTTCACCTAACAAAAACTTCACGTGATGCAGCTGGTGAACTAGCTGTACCTCTGCCATGTTGTGCTTGTTCTTCACGATCGTAGCATCTCTTCTTGCGCATGCCTCTGATATCTTCGCCTGCTCCGCACTCACCCTCACCCTCTATCGCGCATCATAACTTGCCTGCAGCGACTGACGTTCCCGAACAAGCTCCGTCGATAGTTCTTGCACCTGAAAGTTGCCCTTAGTTGTTGACGAGTCAGCTTCTCCTGCCTCACCAGAGATTCAGCTGCCTGGCAGCGGGATTCCAACTCTTGTCGAACTTTCTGAACTTCCAACCCTGCACCGGCGCAGGACTCCTTGAGTTGTCGCTGACGTCAACAGCATCAGGCAAAGCAAGATGACATCCTTGAAACCTCACCTGCAAGGATTGTATGGTGTTGTTCAGTCCCTTCACCTGCTCCTTGTAGGACTTGTCGGCCTCTTCGAGTTGCTTCTCGCTGCTCCGCCGATCATCATGCAGCTGGCGCTGCAACTTCTCGACCACGTCCTTGGAGGCCTGAAGCTCCTTGCGGAGGTCGACGAACTGCTGCCCACCCTGGAGGAAGTCGTCCAGGAACGACTGGATGTTCTCGAGGCGATGAGGCCCCTCGTACGCGACCGGGTGACTGACGTTGTTGGTGTAGAAAAGGATCCGAGGAAGGTTTTCGGCGCGAACGGAGCATCTGGACAAGAGCGCCTGAGAGGTATGGCGGATTAGACCAAAGGAGCAGATGTAGGAGTTCTTCTCCGCCAGCTGCGTCCATAGCTCCGGAGTATCCTCTCTTTTCGTGAACAGGACGGTCTTAACCGGTCGGTCTGAGGCTTGAATGAAAGTGTCGAAGCTCTCAGGAGCAAGGTTGATGATCTTCTCGCCTCGGACCTGCCTCTCCACTTCCAGCGTCTCCTCCAGACTCTTCTTCTCCCGCTCCAGCCGCGCAATCGTCTCCTTCAGCTCATTCGTCTCCTTCTCCAACTGGTTCTTCATCGCGGCCTCGTTGCTCTTCGCCTGACTCAGCTCTGCCTCGATCCCTTTACGGATCGCTTCAACCTGCCCAACTTGCGCCAACTTGATGCGGGCAGATTCAGCTTTCGCCGCCTGCGCAGTCTCCCTCTCTTGCGCTACTTCGTGCTGCAGTCCCCGAACCTCCCGTTGGAAGAACTCCACCTGCTTCTTCAGCTCTACCAGCTGTGACCCTCCCTCCGCCGCATCCTTCAGGAACTCCGCGATGTGCTCGAAGTCGTTGGGCCCTTCGTAAAGGATATTCTCCGCCTTCCCCTCCTCCACCACCCTCACTGCGATGATCTTCGGGAGGACTTCGGCAGAGAGTCCAAACTTGCACAGAATCGCATCCTCATCCATTCTCACCTCCCCGAAGTCATACTTGGACGACAACGCATCTGCTACTCGCAGCCACAAGTTGGGGGTTTCAGATTTCTTGGTGAACAGGACTGCCTTTAGCATCTTGCCCTTGGAGTTGAAGAACCCAGCAGAGTTCGCATGTGTTAAAAGAGTGTTGATAGTCATTGTGCCTGCCTGTTGCTCTTGTTTCGACACCCGAAGTTGGTAAGATCAGAAAGATCTCTGGGCTTCACTGGTCGAGCGATCGTCACAGGCAAGCAATGGAGCGTACTTCATCGTTCGACAATGCCGATGGCCATGGGCTTTCAAGAACCTGCAAGACCATCAAGACTTAGAGGGGATGAATGGATTGCTCGGATGAAATGGAAGAAACCATGATCGCTCATGATGATACTGATGTTTGCAAGTGAGACGTGCAGCACAACGGATGTAGGCTGGCCGCATCTACGAAGCTATCTACGACAAGACTGGCATGATTGCACAAGAATACAGGAGATATAGGAGTTGAGCTGATATCATACAGGAGATATAGGAGTTGAGCTGATATCATACAGGAGATATAGGAGTTGAGCTGATATCATACAGGAGATATAGGAGTTGAGCTGATATCATACAGGAGATATAGGAGTTGAGCTGATATCACGATATTCAAGTCCCTGATGGACTTGTGAGAACGAAATACACACCGCAGCAGTCATGAATCAACAGGCAAGGGAAAAGAGAAGAATCACATCAGGCTACGATGTCGGGATGCTAGCGGGAGAAAGCGAGGGAAAGCGGGAGGCAGGGGAAGCAGTAGAGAGAAGTCGATGAAGGAGAGAGGGGAAGGAGAGCGAGGAGGAGGAAGAGGAGGAGGAGGAGGAGGCTGTGGAAATCATTGACTATGGCTCGCAATGTGTAGCGCATGTTTGGCTGAGGTGGCGGAGTGACGGGGTTACATACAAAAAGAGGGGGTACTGGTATCGATCCTTGGCAACACCACCCCTGAAATAAGGGGTACTAGTAGGTTAATAATGGGGTGAACAATGATGGGGAAACCTAGGTAGGGTGGTGCGGAATGGAGGCGGTCGCTATGAAGGAAGGTATCCCAGGAGGACTGGTGACTGGGAGATGAAGGAGGAGAGGAGGAGGAGGAGAGGAGGAGAGGACAAGAGAGCAAGAGAGGATCTGCAGGAGGATGTGGTGGAGAGGATGAGAAGAGGGGGAGATAGAGTGACGAGGGGTGTGTGTGATGGAGCAAGTGCGGGATAGAGCCAGAGCAGGAGCGTCATCAAGGCCAGCAGCTGGTCGAGGAGGCGGCTGATGGGAAAGGAAGGAGATTGAAACATCCTCGAGATTTCCTGCGGGATGTTTGAATGAACCAAGATACTTGCTCGAGCTGTGGGGAAGAGACATGAAACTTGCGCGTCCTTTCCTCCGGCTCCTCCTCGCTCTCGCCCTCACCACTGAGACATTTCCCGCGTTCTCTGGCGGGTTCAATCCCATCAGCCCCCCAATGGCGATGAGAACCCTGCGAGGAGGGAACAGAGGGGGCAACGTGCGTGCCAGCAGGGCGGGAGCTCGGAAGAAGAAAGGAAAGAAGGACCCGAACGAGCTGGCAAGGCAGAAGTTAATCAGCAGATACAACGACATGTACGGCATCAAGCCGCCGCCCCGTGAGGTCGATCTCGACATGCTCGCAGACCAGCGACCGCTGCATCTCAAGGAGAAGATCTACAGGTGAGAGAGGACGGGAAGGCAAGACGAGGAGGGAGGGAGGCTGAAGTTCGATAGGGCACAAGACCAGAAGAACGAGATCGAGGCTGAGCTTGAGGAGCTCAAGAAGAAGCTTGAAGAAGATGTGAGTATGCTAACAAAGACTCTCTGCCAGACATGCTCGTGTGACTGTATTGTGACAGAAAGCAAAGAAGATCTCGAAGCGTATGCTGCCTGAAGAGCTCGAGGAACTTCAATTCAGACAAAGAGAACTAACTCAGGTGCAGAGCTTGTTAACCTGAGATTCCTCCTCATCGCCATCATCACTGCCATAGCCATCATCACTACCAGCACCATCATCACCACCACTTTCACCTCCTCAATCACAATCATCACCACAACCACCCTCATCGTTGGAATGGTCACCTATCGAAGTCAACCCTTGCTCCTTCCATTAGCTGCATCCGTCATCTGCTCTGTCCTGATCTTCTCCGCAGAGACTAGGAGAGGTGTCAGGTCAGCTGAAACGATACGAGCTCAAGAAGAAGTGATGCCTTGCTCCTCTCACTCCCCTCCCTCACGACCCATCCCAGGTTCAACCAAGAGCAGAAGCAGCGAATTGATGAAGGCAAACGGCCATTCCTGGTTTTCATCTTCCACCTCTTCCCTGAGCATGACCTGACACTCACCAAAGGTACGGGATATCACGAGGAAGAAGTATAGAAAGAAGTTCCAGTGGAGCTCGCAAACGGCAGGTTCGAGGCTTCAGTTTTTAAGGTTCCACTCCAATTACAACTCCTTCTCAGGTCGTCAGCAGCAACAAGAGACCTCCCAGGAAGAATGATGGTATTGGTGACAGCATGGAATCTCTCTTTTGGAACTCTTAGGTGTTTTTCGACATGTTGAGCGGCTGGCCGAATGAAACTGCGTCATTGACATTCGAATCTCCTATCTTTCGTTGAAACATGCATGTGGAGTTCACGAGCCCTGTTCAACATTCTCATCTCACAACCTTATCCCTCTCCCTCTCCCGCTCCCGCTCCCTCTCCCGCTCCCGCTCCCGCTCCCTCTGCCCATCTCAGTCCTCCTGTCTCCTCCATTCCCCTCGTCCTTGCTCGCCTTGCATGATGTCTCTCAAACCAGCCCCGATTGACTACCCCATTGCATACTACCCCCATTTGAAGTTCTTTGACCCATCCATATAGCGATCATAACCCCAATATTTCTCAGTGGGGTAATGACCCTCACCCCCGATTGTTTACACCCTTACCCACTCTTGAATGATGATTGAGGGGGTGGGGGTTACCGAACGGTCGTATTGTCGGGCGAACCATGACGAACGGTGGGTGGCTTCCAAATATTTGTGGGGTCAGGAACCAGGGGGTAGTCTAGAAGAGGGGTAGGGTACTATCAAAGTTGTTTTGTAGGGGTATCCATGACAGAAAAGAGGCTCAACAGATGAGGTGGGTACCAGGACAATCAGGGAAAGAGGGGTCCATTGGATGGTAAATGATTGAGGGGGTAGGGTGCAACAAGTGATGGGGCTCTTGTCGACAGCCAAGTTTGCGGTGAAGATGCAGATCAAGTTGCTTATTGCAGCGGCGATGCTGGAGAGCTCGGTAAGAGGAGGAGAGGAGGAGAGGAGGAGAGGAGGTGTGTAGGAGCTCAGGGAGAAGAATGGGGAGAGGAGGAGGGGTGTGGTAACGAGGGGAGAGGAAGGGAGAGTGGAGCGGCGATAGTGGGGGAGACGAGATGGCAGATGAGAGTAGAAGAGAGGGAAGAAGAATGTGATTGAAAGAAAGTAACAGAAGAGAAGAAAGGGGGTAGTGTTCATTGTAGCAACGAAGAGCAGAAGCAGAGCGTTTGCAAACAAGCATGAGAAGCAGAATTACCCGATAGTGGGAAGTAGGGAGGGGAGGAGGGGAGGAGGGGTGGAGGGGAGGAGAAGGGACACGTATATGAGGACAGAGACACGGGAGTAGAGGTGTAGAGCTTGAAACAAGGGGTTGAGGATTGTTGACTCAAGAATTTTCATTGTCAGATGTGCACAATTCAGTCAACATTGCCATCATTCAAGCCCTGCGACCTGACTCCCATTCGACTGACTACTACAACAAAACTCAACAAAAACAAGACCGAACTGCTCCAAGATCTCTTCGGAATGTATGCTTCGGAGTTTACTGCGTGAAAATCTTCTGACTACGCTGGATGCAGAGCAAAGAGGGAGGAAGAGATCAACCATGCGGAGATTACTGCAAGGAATCGCGAATGGAAACCTACGAGGCTTCATCTGAATGCAGAGCGCGGCAAGAACTAGTCTCAGAGCGCGGCAAGAACTAGTCTCAATTTTCTTCGCGTTGCTAGCAACATCAGAAACTAGTTTCTTGCCCACTCGCTGCCCCAAAACGCTGACTTCACTCTCCATGCACTGTCACGACGCCTGCAAACCAAGATCGACTTGGGCATTCCACAACAGGTGCAAGTCGGTTTGAACTCATTCACACTCCAACATCTTCATGCGATAGAGGAGGGCAAGGAGAAGGCGGGATAGAGGAAGAGGTCACTTGTTCATGATCGAGTCAACAACAAGCTTGAAGTTAAGGCCCACAATGAAGAGAGAGATGATCCAGGCTGCGATGTGCACCAGCCGTGAGTTGACAAAACTCCCCATGATGTTTCTGTCCCCTGTCAGGATGACGAGAGGGATGAGAGCGAAGGGCAGCTGCATCGACAGAATGACCTGCAGGAGGAGTCAGGGAGCAGTCAAAGTCGAGCAGCTAGCAGAGCCTCACCTGGCTGATGACAAGCAGCGGGTTTATCATGGCGTTGCCAGCAACGAGGATAGTAATGACAGCCGGCAGGATGGCCGTCAGCCTCGTCCCGATGCGGATGTAGGCAGAGTGAACCTTGAGGTCGAAGAACCCTTCCATCACCACTTGCCCGGCGATCGTTCCCGTGACTGTGCTCTGCTGCCCGCTGAGGAGAAGCGCGAGACCGAAGAGAGTCGACGCCGCTCGCTCCCCGACCACGTTGCCGATCAACGAGGATGCCTGCTCGAGGTCGGCGACATCTCGGTAGCCGGCCCGGTGGAAGGCAGACGCAGCGAGAACCAAGATGCACACGTTGATCAGGAAAGCAACGATGAGAGACAGGTTGCAATCCAGAGTAGCGAAACGGAGCGATCTCTTCAAAGAGCGGCCGGTCTGTATCGGCCCCTCCCTGGGGCACACGAGGAAGCTGTGAAGATAGAAGTTGTGGGGCATCACAATGGACCCCAAGATGCCGATGCTGGCGTACAGCATCCCCGAGTCTGTCACAAGGTCCGCAGTAGGTACGAACATCCCTTTTAGAAGCTCAACGCCGTCCGGTTTGCTATAGTAGAGCTCGATGGAGAAGCAAACTGCCATGGTCAGGATCATGACGATGATAATGATCTCCATGATGATCACTCGGTTCTGTCCAAAGGCGAGCAGGACGAGCACGTCGAGACCAGTGATGAGCACCCCGGCGAAGAGAGGCAGCCCGAAGAGAAGTTTGAAGGCGATCGCAGAGCCAATGACCTCCGCAAGGTCCGTCGCGCAGATGGCGACCTGAGCCGATACCCCAAGGAGGATGTGAACATACCTGGAGAACTTCTTTCTACATGCCTGCACATGTCGATCAGCCGAGCACGAGGGTGCAGTGAGATCGAGAGGCTCACCGAAGCAAGATCCATGCCGCTCACCAAGCCCAATCGCAAAGCCATGGACTGCAGGAACATCGCCAGAAGAGAAGACAGCAGCACCACGAAAAGAATACTGTAGTTGTACGACGAGCCCGCCTGCAAGTCTGTCGCCCAGTTGCCTGGATCCATGTAGCCGACAGCTACCATAGAACCAGCCCCGATGAAGGGCTTCACCGTCTCCCAGCAGCTCTTGGCCTCCCCCTCCTGCTCCTCTGAGTCTGCTCCATCTGGGTCGCAAGATTCGAGGGTGTCCTGGCTTCTATCTCGCTTCGACAAATCGTCAGGCATGAGCTTGTGCTTCGAAGAAGCATCATCAGCTTCCTTCATCCCGCCACCTCTGTCATGATTTGAGGGCTGGATGCAGGCCGGGCAAGAGCTGTCGGGGACGTTCACTACCACATACACTTCATCGTCCCGCATGCTCGCGGCCGCGCTATGCGTTGCCGCGGGTTCAAACTTGGAAGGTGGCTGATGTGCAGGATCATGAGGTTGCTGGATCTCAACATGCCCAGCCATGGCTTGCAATCTTCACTTCTTGCTATCCTTAGATTATAACCATCCAGGTCAAAATCTTTCGTAAGAGGAAAGATTCACCTAAAACACAAGTAAGACACCTATTAAACCGGATTGTGACATGTCATGATGGGACAACATGCACAAATCAAGAATTGATCCAATTCTTTCTACTTTTGAACTGTTTTCTACATCTTCTTACTTCTTGTAAACAGCATTACGTCCTGCTTCAAATTTCTCCTCCTCCTTCACTTCCTTGTCACCTCCCTCTCGTTCCGCTCTCCCAGCCTGTCCTCCTCCTCGTTCCATGTTCTCCTTGGACCTCTCTTGACCATTTCTCCGCCTCCACTAGTATACCCTCCCCCGCCCCCGCCCCTCCCATTCTCTTCCCCGCAGTCCCGCCCTGCCCCCAAAGCATTTCAGGATTTCGGGATCTTCTCGTTCCTTATCACCCCTACCCCCTTTACCCTCTTTTGATACGTAAAAAGAACGGGTGTATAAAGATAAGTAAATATTCTTGGTACAAATGGAGGAGTCATGTTCCCCTCCCCCCCTTTACTGACCAGGCTGGTTTTTACGCAGAACACGTTTATTGTCCTACCCTACCCCCTATAGTATACCCCTATGAGGCTAGTAACCCCCTAATTTCCGATAAATGTATCTAATCTTGAGGGGTGATATCCTGACCCCACCTACATGTTCACCGATCTACCACCAACCCAAAGAGGCTGTAAGGCACCCGTGGTCAAATACTTTTCATTACGGTCAAACAAACTACTACTTATCGGATTTACTGAACTTGCGGCCTCCCGGAGTCACCGGGCCGGGGCCCCCGGGCGGGCAATGGCCGTCTCTCGGGGCCCGAGGGGGCCGGCGGGGCGGCCGATCATGGCACTGCGGCACCACTCGGAGGCTGACCAGATGGCACCCGGCGTGACGGCGGCTCACTGAGGGCCCACTGAGGCGGCACTGTGACGGGGGGGGGGGGCGGCCCGGGGCCGGCACCCCGAGCCTAAGTTTCAACTTGTAGTGCCGCGCCAGCCTCCGTGACACTGTCATGTCACTAACTTGTAAGGAAAGGCCCTTCCCGGATCGCTTTCAACATGGCTGGTCGCTGTTGCCAGGAGCCTAGTAGACGATTTGGCCGCCTACTCAGGTTCCTCGCAGCCTGCCTCCGACTCAACGCCCATCAATGAACATCAACAGTGACAACACCGCGACTGTGAGAAACACGTTCACACATGCAACTTGCTAGCATGCTTCATTTCTATCCATATGTTCACTTCCAACCTACAATCACAAACCGGAACTGCTTCGAAGTTCTGCTTCCCTGTGCGGCAGCGACTCTATGTTGGGATGGACGCAATCGCAACGCAAGCAGTTCACAAGTTCCGCAACTGAAACAGGCTGCTGTGCTCTCAGACAACCAGCGACTAGTCCTGCGTTTGATCGTTGTGATCACACGCGACTGCCCGGCCCTTACTCCTCCTGGTGGTGCCGTCGAGCTTCCCAGCTTTCAGTACTCTGCTCTGACATGAAAGTTTCACCTTCACGTCCCTCCCACCAGCTGGATGCGGCGGATTTTCAGCCAATTCATCTGGTTGCTGGTGCAGCGTATCTGGAAGGAGGCGAGCTGAAAGCCAGCTGGGATTTTGCCCTGAGGAAAGTCAAGGAAGCAGCAAGGGTATCGGAACCAGCGGCCAACCTCGGCACATCCGTTACGGAACTCCGACAGTTTCAACCACTCGCAGTCTTCCCTTCTTGCTGCCCCGTCCCATGGCGAAGTCTGCCAGCAACGTCAAGGGAGGGAGGGAGGAAGGCGAGGCGGTACCTCTGAGATCTCAAGGACCCCTTCTTCAAGGAGATCCTGACCCCCCGGCTCCTCCGGGTTGCTCCTTCCCTGCCGACAAGTCAGGAAGCTTTCAGAGCAAGGAGATTCAAGTTCAAGTTCACGAGAGGAGAGCTCACTACCTGACGCCCAGTGACAACGGAGATCGATTTCAGGGACAGCCCCTCCCGCGCAGACACGACAGCCGTTATGCAATCCCCCGCAACGATCGCTCGAGAACTCCAACAGAACTCATCCAAGTTCTCGTTGAACGCCTTTCAAACCATCACACCCGCCGCTGCATGCGCAAGACACGGAACGTACCAGCCCGATGCTCTGAAGGTTCTGAGTTGCAAACGAGGTCCATACGCTCGCGTTCACCGTCATGCCAAGATCCCCGTCCTGAGGTCAGTCACAGGCGCAAAGGCTCTTGCAGTGGCAGCGAACTCACAGACGTTACAGCAACCTCGCCGCTCCACCGGCTTCGTTCCCACATGATAGTCTCACAAGTGATTTCAGAAACTATCAACCATTCCTCCTGCGATCCTGTCGCGCGAACGCGGATGGCGGTCAACGGGCACTTGTTGGGCACAATCAGGCAAGCGCTGCCATGAACGAAGGAGGGGCCAGGCTGGAAGCAAGAATCTTCAGTCGACATGTACTCCAGCACCGCGTGGTAGAGGATATCCCTCCCGAAGTAGCCTGTTCTGACGACAACGACGATGCAGTCAGTGACAGGATGATCGAACGTGACCAAGATCTCGTCCCCCTCTTGCACTCCGCGGTTGCTCCAGAAGTACGTCTCCGGGTTGCCATCGATAGCGAAAGGGAGGTGATGATGCTTGTAGGGGTCCAACGAGGAGCAGATCTTCGCTCCAGGGATACATGGGACGATAGAGTTCAGGTCTGGCGGCAACCCACTTTCACTCCACCCAGCTGGGAAGCTGCTGCCGACGACAAAGCTGTTCTTCAGCCCCTGAATGTGAAGCTTCGCCCTTGCAAAGAAATCTTCAAATGACTCCCATCGCTGCCCTCCCATGCACGAGCTGTGGCCAACCCCTCCGCTCCAGACGACTTCAGCGAAGGCAAGCGTCCTCGGCCAGAGCTTCTGCTCCACGTCTATGGGCAAGGCAGTAAACTCCGTCCACATGGCACACTCAGCTCCAACCACGCTCCTCCTCGTGCCGTCCAGACAGTAGCGAGGAAACTTCTTGTACAGGTGACAAGCTTCTTCACTGGGAAGGTTCTCAATCAATGGGTTCGGTTGAAAGCAATGTACAGATCGGAGGTCAGTGATGGAGATGTCATAGTCAAAGTAGCAATGCTCTGTCGGTGAGGAGATGGTGAGACAGTCGTGCATGATGGACTTCTCCACGGCTCCTCTTCCCCTCCATGCCTGCACCATCATCCGGTCGCGGATGCCCCACAGATTCTCGAAGTCATCAAGAATCTCATCCCAGCCGATGGGTATCCTTCCTCTCCGTTCTATCAGCTCCAGCAGCTTGTGCATCCCGTACTGTTTCAGTCCATTCGCTCCATTCAAGTTCAGCTCCTTGATCATCCTCTGGCACTTGGGGCAGTGGTTCCAACGGGTGTGTGGGACCTCGTCGCCTCCGACGTGGATGAAACTCCCAGGAAAGAGATCGAAAACTTCGTCCAAGATCTTCTCCATGAACGAGATCCACTCCATTCCTCCAATGCAGAACACGTCCTCATGCACCCCCCATCGCGCTCCCACAGCCTCTAGCGGCTTGTCCAGGCAGCAGTACTGAGGATAAGCGGTCAGCAACGCAAGGGAATGCCCAGGGAACTCGATTTCCGGGATCACCAAGATTCCTCTGCATCGGGCATATCGCACGAGGGACTGAACTTCTTCTTGAGTGTAGTATCCCCTCTTGTCGGCAGACGGTTGCAGGTATAACGGTGCCTGATGTACCAGCTCGGGGAATGCCCTTATTTCCAGCCGCCATGCTTGATCGTCAGTCAAGTGCCAGTGCAACCTGTTGAGCTTGTACAAGAGCATCGCATCGATGTGTTTGAAGACAAAATCGACCGGCAGGAAGTGCCTCGAGGAGTCCAGCATTGTTCCTCGCCAAGTGAACTCAGGAGCGTCGTAGATTTCCAGGGCAGGAAGCTCAAGAAACTCGTTATCTTCCATTCGCTCAATCTTCAGAGCTGCTTCCTCGGGGCCTCGTAGAGCAAGCAGCATTTGCAACAAGGTGACTAGACCGTAGAGATACGACATCCCACTCCTCCCATGGATCTCACACCTGTTATTGTACACCTTGAGGATGTAACACTCCTCGCTCGCGGGCAACTTCTTCATCTCAAACTCCTGGATGGGAAGGAAGTAAATTGCTCCTTTCGCATCCGGCGCTTCGTTCTCGCAGATCTCAAGACCCCCCAGCAAGCTTGAACCCGTGCTCGCTGCTTCATAGACAGTCAAGAGCTGATCTTCCGAGCTCTCGATGCTACCGCCAAGGCACTCAGCAATCACTATCTTGGTTGCTTTGCTGAAGCTCAGACCGACACCAGGAAGACATTTTGCGACTGCGGGTCTGGGGAGCACATACGAAAGCACCCCCTCGTGGGGACGAGCGTAGTTCTGCTCTTCCACGATCCTCCGACTTGTACGAAACTCAAGCAGCTTTCGCTCAGGGCTGTCATACATCCACTGCTCGATCTGTGAGATGACAACTCCTCTTAGAAGACACTGAGTATAGTGAGAGACTCCTTCGGGGTCTCCCTCTCTCATAAGAATCTTCCTGTAACATTCTCTCACTTCCTGTCGAGCTCGATCGTACTCCAAATTCTGTTGTTCTATGAGCCCCTTGAGGTACAGCCGCACTCTTTCTGGCATGTCAATCCCTTGGATCTCGTGCAAGTGATTCAGAGAACTCTCCTTGTCTGGAGAGATGCACATCTCCGAGAAGCATTGCGTAAACCTGCCCACAAGCCTCATGTACCAGTCCGAAGGAAGGGAAACTCCATCCGCATCCAGCCCGAGGAACCTGTACAACTGATTCGGCACGTCAGGATGAACGAGCCCTCTATCTAGTATTACGGATCTCTCCGAGACCTTGAAGATAGCTGTGCCCTCATCCAGCTCGTCAAACATCGCAACATACACAAACAGTGGGTTGAATTTCACTGAGGCTCGGAACTGCTCCCACAAGAAAGCCCCGGCTTGCCTCGGAACGACGTTACATGAGCTTTCCGTCCTTTTCAAGTTCATCTCTGAAAACCCAGGCCACGCTACTGGTGCGATACAGATGTTGTTCTCTTCGCAAAACGCTACATCCTCCTTGAATAAGGTCTGATAGTAGTCCGTCACTTCAGTCCGGTGAACATACCTCCCTACAGTCCATGGTGATAAACAATCGAACATCCTATACACATCATGGTATCCCTCCAAGCTATCGTTGATCCCTTGCCTCCAATATGTCGGGCAGCCCCCAACCACGTACGCGCTCTGTTTCAGGTCGTTGATTAACTTGACTAGCTGGCTCACCCCCTGGAGTCAAGGAATAAGATCAGATCAACTTTCATGCTTGCGAGGAGAACAAGACTCACAGGGTCTGGTCGATCTGAGAACCCGAATCCTGCAATACCCCGTTCATCAGATTGAGCGTCAAACAATCATAGGCAGCTCACCCCAAAGTCCCAACACTGGCTTCCCGTTGTGGTGCAAATATGAGCTAGAAGAAGTGAATTCTTTCGCCAACATCGACCAATCTGACATGATCTCGGAGCAAACAGTCTCGGACCTTGATCCCGACACGTCGTACATGATTGCAAACACTCTTCCATACTTTTCACAACTCTTGCCAACCAGTACTGAAACCGTATCCCGACATCGTTTCAAACTAGGAATGCTCAACTCGCTGATGAATCGCTGCAAGAAGACGCCATCGATCGAGTTTTCTTGCATCCACTGAAAGTGTCGATCGACTGTCGCTGTTGCAAAAATCGTCATTTCCGCGCCTCTCCGGCCAAGCACACCAGAACTTTCCACAGCTGTACCTGGATTGCAACTCGAGAACACCTTGGCATCGGCTCCCTTGTCATTCTGAAAGGGAATCGAATAAAGCTCTCCTTCACCCAGCTCGGTAGTGTCAGGCCATAGATCGAACGCAGGCGCGAGCTCTCCGGCATGAAACCAATGCCTGCACACAACGGGGGCGTCGTAAGATTCGAGAGGAAGAGGCGAGGGAAAGACAGGGCAGGGAGCACGAACCTCCAACCACAGGAGGAAGGGTCGTTCTCCGCACAAAACCAGCCCTGGTAGCCGCAGAGGACGCGGCCATGCAGCGAGCGCGTCGCCGCTTCCGGAGCTTGCGGGGGCATGAAAGTCCCCTGCATGGGCTGCAGGTGGAATCGTATGGAATGGGGTACTTCTAGTCAGATACATGAGTGTTTGGGGTGGGTGGAAGTGGATTTCATGGGGGTAGGGGTACATGAGGTACGGGTGAGGTAAATTGAACACGGGTAGTGTATTGTGTCCAAGGGTACCAGTGGAGGAGTAGGAGCTGGAAGTATGCTGGTAATAAAGAGGGGGTATATTAGATACAGAGTTGTGGTAAATTCATATGGTAGGGTTACCACCAGCACCCTGTGATAAATGTATGGGTGGTGGTGGTGATTTTCTTTTACAATAACTGCTGATGGTACAAAATATGGGTGGGGGTAGTCAGAGTAGGGTATGCAAACCAACGGGGGGTGGGATGGGAGTGAGCAGGGGGGTGGGTATGTCCGAAGTTGGGGATGAGGGTATGCTAATGGTTTCGGGGGGATTGGAGCCATCCATGGCGGCGGCGGCGGCGGCGGCGGCGGCGGCCATGCTGTCATTTGTAGTGGCAGTTCTGATGATGATGATCGTGTTGATGATTGCAATGGCTATCTTGATGAGGTCAAGAAGGAAGAGGAACGTGATAGGTGACTTCTTCCTGCTCTCCCCCGTCTCCATTCGAGCGCTGCGATCGACTGACTATTCACAGGGTTCTTTCATCCTTACTGCAACGATGGAGGGGGAGGAGAGCGAGTGCTGTGGTGTGCCATTCAGGCGCTACTGAGAGAGGACAGCAAAAGGCTGATTGCGGTATACACGGGGGATCGAGCGAGCAAGGAGGAGATACTTGCGAAAGCCAAGGAGAGGTTTGGATTCGAGCTGCATGGAGAGCGTGTGCAGATCGTGTATATCTCCTGCAGAGTGCTCCTGGAAGCTCGGATGTATCCCGTGCTCACTCTGCTGGGTCAAAGCGTCGGAGGAGCCTTGCTGAGCATCGAGTGCCTCGTAAGGTTGAATCCTGGAGTGTTTGTGGATACCATGGGAGGAGCTTTCACCTACCCTGTCGCACGCTTTCTCTTCGGCTGTCGTGTTGGATGCTACGTGCACTACCCGACGATCAGCTGCGACATGCTGTCCTTGGTCTCGAGGAGAGAAGCCTCTTACAACAATAGAAGGGTTATCTCAAACTCCGCCCTCCTCTCCTCCCTCAAGCTGCTCTACTACAAGATGTTTGCCTTGGTCTATGGTTTTTGCGGGAGATGCGCTGAAGTTACCATGTGCAACTCAACCTGGACCAAGGGCCACGTGCAGAGCATCTGGAAGGTGCTCCCCGACATCGTCTATCCGCCATGCAACACGGACAAGCTGCAAGGGATCGCCTTTGGGGGCCGTGAGGACCTCGTGATCTCCCTGGGTCAGTTCAGGCCGGAGAAGAACCACTTGCTGCAGCTCAAGTCCATCCAACACCTGCTGAAGCTCGGGGTCAGAGACGTGCACCTAGCCATCATCGGGAGCTGCAGGAACGCCGAGGTAAGCCAGTAGGAGGATGGAGCAAGGGGAGAGCGTTGAGATTCGGACAGGACGAGCGGCGAGTGAGGGATCTGCGCCAGCACGTCTCGGATCTCGAGCTTTCTGACCATGTCTCAGTGAGTACCACAGGCTGCCCAGCTGACACCTCAGCTGACACTCTCTCAAGGTCTTGACAAACGTGCCATGGCCCGAGCTCAAGGACAGATGGCTGAGGAGGGCGAAGGTACCCTGCTTGCCTCCCGCACCACAGGAAGCGCTCCCTCACCCTCTCCCAGGCTGGCCTGCACACCATGTGGAACGAGCACTTCGGCATCAACATAGTGGAATTCATGGCATCGGGAGTGATCCCAATCGCGCACGACACAGGTCGGACAGGGGCAACAGAGGAGCAGGGATGAGACGTGACGCAGGTGGTCCGAAGGCGGACATTGTAATCCCTTACCAGGGCTCGCCGACTGGTTTCTTAGCATCCACAGAGGAGGAGTATGCAGAGCATATGAGGAAGGCAAGCACGTTGCCCCTTCTTCTGCAGTCACTTGCTTGACCGCACGTGTGTGTTCATTTGTTCCTGATTTGCTGTCAAGGTTTTGGGGCTTCCGTCTAGCGAGCTTGCAGAGATTCAAGGGAACGCAAGGGTGAGTGATTTGAATTAGATGTCGACCTTCTGCTCTGACGACATGAATCTGTCACTCAGAACTCCGTCACCAGATTTTCCGATGAAGGTCAGCTGATGAAGCCTCTATCTCAAGAGTTTGACTGTTCGAACAGTTTTCCAGCAGAAGTTCTTGCTGTGCATAAAAAGGATTCTCTTGTGATCTTGAGGGGCTAAGCTGTATATTCTTACACATCAATAAACAAGTATTCTTTCGTCTCGTTAACGGCCATACACCGGGACGTATCCCCCACCCATCCATCGCGACACCTGGCAAGAGGCTTGAGATGAGCAGAGGAAGGAGCCGACGTCATACCTTGTACGCTGCTCGCTGCTGGATGCTCTGCCACGTGTCGGTGGCTGGATCTACCGTGGCATCCTTGAGGAGATCGGAGTAGTCAACAGAAGCTTTCTTCAAGGCAGCCTGCTTCTTCTCAGTGTGATGCTTCGTGTCTTTCCTGCACACCCATCAGCTATCAGACAGTGAGACTGCAGCTCTTACTTGTCTGAGGCATCCGTGCTAGCAAGGGACTGAGTCCTGGCCTTCTCTACAGCATGCGCTCCGACGGCCCCCTGATGCTTGTGAGCATCGGATTTACCCCACTCAAGGTATCCTCCCGCAGTAATCCGGGGAAAGTTCTGGTGATGGAGTGTGTGCTTGATCGGCTTAGGCTTGTGAGGACTCTCCGCATGTTTGAGCCATCGAGCGTAAGTCGAGCTCTTGTCCGACTTCCTTGCAAGACGGCTGATCATGTCATCGTCAGCATCGCCATCCTTCACGTTCTTGGAGGTCCAGATCCTGTGAGGAAGATCCGAACCCGACTGAGACGAGATCATCTTCTTCAAGGCAGCCCTCTTCGCCAAGAGCAGCTGCAGCTGGTTGCGAATCTTCTTTGCTCTATCGCTATCTAGGCCCTTGGTAGTCGTCAGCTCGTTTTCGAGCTTCTTCTTGCGAGATTCAATTATCTTCGCAACCTTCTTCGCCTCCTGCTTCTTGTTCTCTGCATCAGGGAGGCGCTTCTTCCATCCTGTCACATCCTTGGGGTCCATGTGGCTGTCAAGAGCTTCGATCTGCTTCGCTACCTTGGCCGTGGGGACACCGCTCAAGAAGTCAGAGAGGCGGAGGGTGTTCTCCGCAGATCTCAACTCCTTCTTCAGCATGTTCTGGCTAGTAGCCTTGTCATCTACCTGAGTCAACTTCTGCGTACCAGACGCTGGCTTGAATTTGGTCTTCGAACCTGACCATTTAGCGATCTGATCAGCTAGTCTTGCGTCCTTCGAAGAGCTCGAAACGTCCCAGGAGGGAGTGACGAACTGCAAACCTGCCCCACTTTGCACCAGTCCAGTCTTCACCATGGCATCCTTGGATCCAGCAAGTTCAATGAGCTCCTCCACCTGTGATGATATATCAGTGGTTGGCTCCCTTTCACTTTGCTTCTCCCCCAACACTTACCGTCACGTATCCCCTTTCGCGGACGGCGATGGCTGCAAACATGATTGCCATCACTGTCAGCAGCATTATCTTCATTTTCATGCTCGGCGCCGCCTCCTGCTCGGACGACTTGACGTTCGCTTCCGCCATGGCTGAAGAGCCGCCCGAACCCTGTCGTGGGGGTAGGGGTCACCAATAGAAACTTTCCTTCCAAAGTTGTGGGTAGGGGTCCTTGGGTCCGGTCTAGTCCCTCAGTAACCGTGCGCCGGGCCGGGCCGCGAACCGGCCGGGCCGCCGCCGGCCCGCGCGTCTCCGACGGGCGGCCAGGGCAGTAACGCCGGGCCCCGGCAGCCGGGCCCGCGCCGCGCGGCCGGGCGGGCCGGGCGCGGCCCGGACGGTCCGTGACCCGGGCCCCGGGCCGCCGCGCCGAGCACTGCCAGGCTGGCCTGACCGACCGTCGGATGATCGGACGGCCGCCGCCGCCGCTGATCGCCGCGGCGCCGCCGCGGGAGTCAGCGGCCTGTCGGCGGCGGCCGCCCGCGTACCGGCGCCGAGTCACGTGACGGACACTGCAGCCCGGCGTCCCGGTACGTGCCAGTTACGGCTCCGCCGCACTGCCGCAGTGATCGGATCGGACTCCTCCGAGTCGTGACCGGGCGGCGCCCGACCGGTACCGGCGGCGCTCGTCACGGTCCCGGTGTCGGACAGGCTGTCTGCCACGGTCGTACATGACTGGGCGTGACGGTGCCGGTTGGCTTGTCCTGTACTGATCTTTCAAGTTTAACTTAACAGGAGTTTGAGTAAAGGCGCTGTGTCCACTGGCTCACTGCACGGGCGAAGAGGGTTCTCAAGAAGGTAAAGGGCCTTCACTTGACTCATGCGGCATCATCCCGTGTGACCCGGAGATTTTAAGCCTAGTTGAGGTCACTGAAGGCTCTCCTAATCCGGTACATTTTTTACTCAAACTTAAGTTCAATTTTGAGCTGATTCAATACTATAATTAACTTAACTTTAAGTAAAGTTTCTAAATGCGAGGTTTTGACTCGGCCGGTACGTACTGGCAAAGGGCCACGAGCCTGTACTACTGCAGCCACAGAGACGTACTGCGTGCTCTTGGCGGAGGGGTGGGGGTACTCGAGATTGTTGTCCGAGTTAGGACCCTGTGGGGTGGTAGAAAGTGTATGAAGGGGTGGGGTAGTTAGTTAATTATTATTGTTTGTGGTGGTGGGGTCAAGTCCTGTTAATTTCAGGGATTGGGTGGGGGATTGTAATATTCACCCACCCCACCCTACTGTATACTGACTACCCCCTTTTGGGGGTGAATTTGTAGGGAGTTAGGCAGAGCACACAATCAACAGGTAGCCCTTGCAACAGTCCCATGATAGGGGTGGGTACTCTACGAACCAACCATGGGTGGTGGTGGTACACAAAAGGGGGAGCACGGGAAGAAAAATCATGTTGATATAGGAGTGGGAATGACTACCGGTAGAGTGTACTGGGTAAGGGTGATCAATAGGGGGTAGGGGTTATAGACGAAGGGGACCAGCTACTTCTAGGCGGGTGATGAGATCATTCGGGGGGTTCATTAAAAGAGGGTGGGGGTTCAGCGTAGGTACAGGTTACGAACATGCGTGAAGGGGGGGCAATGGAGGATGCGCTTTCGTCAGCCGCTACTCCCGTTGCTAGCAAGAGTATACTCCTCTTCCTGAACGAACAGAATGAAGTCCCATTCTTCCTCTCAAATTGTGCAGCGGATCCTTTCTCAACATTGATGCCTGTCCTTGAAGGTAGACTGTACTTTACGTGCCTGCGTTCAAGCCCTGTGTCGGATGAAGAGTACAAGTACTTCACGATGAACAAGAAACTGCGATATGCACCATTTTGCGCTGATTTTGGTCCTTTCAATCTGGGAACAACCCACCATTTCTGTGACATCTTGATGACCTTGCTATCTGACAAGGCCTACGAGAAGAAAAAGATCGTCTTTTACTCAGCCATGGAGAAAGAGCATGTGACAAATGCAGTATATCTTTTGGGAGCATTTCTTGTCCTTAACATGGGTGCTTCTGTTCTTGACGTAATGCACATTTTCTCTGGTTTGCCACGGGGGGTTCTGCGACCTTATCGCGATGCTACATGGGTCAAGAGTACCTATGACCTCAAGTTGGAAGACTGCTGGTCCGCTTTGATCAAAGCCGTTGCGGCAGGACTTTACAAGCCTGCTGAGTTTCACAAGGAAGAGTACTTCTATTACGAGGACCCCTGCAATGGAGACATGCATGAGGTGGTTCCCGGCAAGTTCTTGGCGTTTCGAGGGCCGAGGGGGAAGCGGACGAGCAACGATGCGTTGTGCTTCATCCCTTCAGACTACTTCGAAGTTTTCCGATGCCATGACGTCAGCACAATCGTGCGATTGAATTCCGCTGAGTATCCCAAGGAAGAATTTCTGAAAGGAGGGTTCGAACACCACGACCTCGTGTTTCCAGACTGTACCATACCTCCTGCACAGGTGATTGACCGATTCCTTAGGATAGCGGAAAACACAAACAAGACCATTGCTGTGCATTGTCTTGCAGGATTAGGAAGGACGGGAACTTTAATCGCTATTTACATCATGAAGCATTACACCTTCACAGCAGCGGAAGCCATTGCTTGGGTGAGAATCTGTCGGCCGGGCAGTGTGATTGGCCCTCAGCAGAATTTCTTGGAAGACATTCAGGACATACTGCATGAGATGGGCCGGAAGAGGATTGGGGGTTTCAACGCTGACATCAGCAAACGGGAATCAGAATACGGGGACAAGGAGTATTCTGAGAAGCTGGCCTACATGATTACAGAAAGTATCAACCACAGGGGCATGCACATGAATCATAGGACGGAGTCCAATCAGAGCGATCAAGATAACAGAGATGTCAGCAACAACCATGCGGAGGAGCAGGTCGATAGCAGAGGTACAAAGCAGCCAAACCAACAGTCAGCAGCCACACCGACCAAGCACAAAAACAGCGTGCTCCGATACTTGTGGGAGAAGAGAAAAGTTTTGTTCTCTGGGGCAAACTCGAGCGAACAAGGTTGCAAACCAAAGGGAAGTCCGCCGCTTGAAGGATTGGAGCGCGTGTGTACATTTTAACTTGAATCAATAATTAAGTCGGTGTTTTACCGAATAAAAAGTATTCGTCAACTCACCATGGAGTTCACTTCAAGTTTGGGCGGTCATCAACTTCAGGCTTACTAGTTGGCTTTTTCTCAACTTGCCAAACCAGATTTTCTATTTATTTCGCCTGCTCGAGATGAGCCCAGGCTCACAGACCTCCGAGCCTCAGTGGGATCCGAGAGTAAAGTACGGTCCCGGCAGTCACTCCGGCGACTCCGGGGCCGTGACGGGTCGGATCGGACCGGCGTACCGTACCGTAGTACCGTACCGCTGAGCAGTGAGCCCAGTGACGGTACCCGGGACCTTCCTGGCAGGCTTCCAACACGGCCGCTGGGCGCTCGGCGAAGGCTTCCGGGATAGCGGCCGCCAAGTTTCGGAACCGGCTTCAAAGTTTGGGCCCAGGATCATCGCGTCATCCTTGATCGGCGGATCATCGTGCATTGCTGATCCGGTGAAAATTATTTAATTTGACCAATATATTCGTAAGGGAATATAAAAATTGATTTTGGTGTGAGCAATTTTTCAACTCAACTCTGTACGACAGAAGAAAGTGTAGTACTGAAGCGAAGTGAAATTCATATACAAAAGCTTCAATAAATTGATATAAATGTGTATCGAGATAGAAGTGACTCAATCAAAAACAGTAGGATAACGATACCGATTGGTAGTTAGTTGTGTGAGCTGTGGTAGTAACATGATGGGTCAGTAAACAGATTAAATTGTTTTATATTGTTTTAGTCACAAACACTTTGTACCCAAAGAATCGAGAAAAGTTATTAGTTTGTACTGATATTACGAGTGACAGATAATTTATGTACAATAATCAGTACCAATTTTATACAACTTGTTGATAATGGTATTATTTTTGTATCTGATTAAATCAACTATTGAAAAGGTATCACACTGGTAATACCATAAACTAACAGTTACAACCTTCACAGTAACAAATATAACTCTTTTTAGTACCAGTATTATTTCTGTATGACAATAGGGAATCGTACATAATTGACCCACTCCTAGTACAATGTTATAATATTCAAATCCAACAAGCATCACCACCCCACCCACTGCAATATACCACCCCATAACTAAAAGGTGACAAGGCTTGTTCTTATGGCTACCAAGGTCTACGATTCTCTATGTACGATTATATGTTAATCAAGCAATCATCGTACCTAATCGAAGAATGGGAAGTAAAACGCTCATCAAGGGGGTGAGGGGTCCGGAGAAAGGTGGTTCTGTATCAACATGGTTTCTCCTGCGCCCCCCGGCAATGCCGCGCGTCTACGGCGGAATCTGATTCTTTCTGTTGTGAAATTATGTTCATGATCTGTTCCTTACATTCACTTCCATCATCTGCTCCACCAGTCTGTCTTCGTATCACTTTGTTCATCTCTCTCTCTCTCCTCTCATTCCTCGTTCCAGCATGCTTTGGTCAAATAGCATTCCTTCCTTTCTTCATTGATGCAGTGTCCATATTTGTTTTGTTCGATTTTCACCATTTCTTTTGCAAATGATCTGATTGTTGGTGAATTTTCAAACCATGGGAAGATTTTTTGTCGTTCACCATCAGATCTCCACTCACTGACTTCTGAGATCGTTTCTCTCCATCACGAATCATGGCATAGCAAGCATCTAATTATGAATTTTGAGGCTACTCTTGTATTCGTTCGATGAAATTGTTGCTTTTTCAAAGCATTCTCCTGGTAGGGTAGATGTCGATGTACTCGACTTTTAATGCATAGTAGTGATCTGTTACATCGAGGCCTCTTCTTGAACTGATCATTGTTTTGTTATCATTATTCACTGTTTGTTATGCAGACATCTATCTTTCTCTCTCGACAGGACTGCTTATTTCTTCGCCTGGATTGTGTCCTATCTCATCCAATCGTCTTCTTTGGCCTATATCAAGTCAGCGTCCATTAGGAATTAGCACAAATGTCTCTGTGGAAAGCTGCTTCCTCGCAGGCCAGCGAGAGTGAAACGATGCACCTGTCAACCGTGTCACAGACTGTCATATCAGGACCGCCAATCACTTCTTCTGGTGTTCTATACCATCCAACACCGCAATCATGCCTCCTCCACATCAGTTCATGAGAGCTGATTGGCATGCTGCTGGCCTCCATGCTGCTGCTCCCATGCCTCCTCCGCCAAAGCCGTTACCTCCTCTTGCTGAGGATCAAAGTACAGTAGGCCTCATGCTTTGGCCCAACATGGAAGGAAAGCTGACAATAACTGGAATCAAGGAGGACAAGAGCGCAGCACAGACAGAATTGCAGATCGGTGACGTGGTTGCTAAGATTGATGACGATTCAGTGGAAGGCCTTGATGCAACCCTCGTCGCCGCGAAACTCATCGGACCAACGGGGTCCACTGTGACTCTGACCACGGGAGGAGGAACTACAGTAACTCTTACGAGAGACGTCTCAGCTGAAGAGGCGAACAAGAAGATCGACCGACGGTGAGCTCCGTGCAGTCTCAACTCCCTCAATGATTGCAACATGTAGATTCGGAAAGCGTGCTCCTGGGGCGAGAGCTGCAGTTTCAGCTGGAATGCGAGCTAAGCAAGCGTAATTGATGCATCGATGTGATCGTTTTTTGGTAGCTCATGGTGTAGCAGGAGAAGGGAAAAAGAAAAGAGAATATCCCTTGGAGAACGCCTGGAAGTAGCCTTGAAGCTCGAGAGCAAGGTATCGTGAGAGGATATCACAGATTGAGGCCTGTTTGACTCTCGTGAAGGAAATCACTGCGAAAGAGGCTATGGACATGTTGGGCTGCTGCAGATCATACATCTCGCAGATGATGAAACCTAATTACCTCAACAAGTTGAAGAAAGCAAGAGATCTCGGACTGGACTTAAAACTCACAAAAGCGCATTTGCCCAAGTTCCCAGCGGTATGTGTTGCAACCTGCGGATTCTGAATCTGTGTCCGTCTGACTCGATGGCAGATCGAAGATGAGCTTCACAAGTGGTTGAAAGACCTCGCAGCTGCAAACCCTCACTTGAGACCTCCTATGACCATGTCCTCTACCATGGAGAAGGCACAGGAGCTTGCAGTGTTGAAGTCAGTGACAGGTGGCATCTTGTTGTGGAGGTTGAAATGCTCACGCGCTGTTGGCAGACTTCAAGGCAAACAACATCTGGTTTGCTAGCTTTGTGAAGAGGTATGCCTTGTAGCTTTCGACATGGGTGCATTCTCATATGTATCAGGTATGGGCTCGATACTATTGGCTACTCAACAGATGTGCAAAAGCCGGCATCAACGATGACAGCTACAGCCAAATATGATGGTGTATCGACCGCGGTGCCTGTGTATGGAAATTAATGTTTATTAAACGACGTATCTACTGTACTGTCATCACAAACCTATGTCCTCTACTGTTCTCGGATACTGCTGCAATGTGTGTATGTGCAGTGCAATCAGCACCAAGTCAAACACAAGACGCAGATTATCTCGAAGTTCTTCTACATGCATGCTGTGCTGGATTCAAATGTGATCCATGCTTCTCCGTCGTGAGCCTCAATAATCGCCAGTGAAACATCCGTAACGGTCGTCGCCCTCACGACATGCTCCGTTGTCTTGTGATGCCTGCTGAGACGAGTATTGAGACCGTTGCTGCGAGCCATTGAGGAGTGAAGGAGGAGCGATCACTGAGCCCGTTCCAGGACCATTGGAGTAGCCATAGGGTCCCGCCAACGGGTCATGTGCCTCCTCCCAACTCCACAGCAAGCTCCACATCGTCGGCGGCTAGTCTTCACCTTGCTCCTGCTCTCTAGCTCGACCTGCCTTGCCGCTCCCGATTCGGCGAATGGGACCCCTGCTCATTTGGTGGGGATATGGAGGGGTGGTGAGAGGAGGGGTGGTAAGCATGGGAGGTGGTGGGGTAGTGATGGTTGGCTGTCATCCTCAACGGACGGAGACGACGGGGACTGACGAGGAGGGCAGAAGGGACTGGGCTCAGAGAGAGAGAGGAGGGGAAGAGGAGAAGAAGAGACCGTACGAGGAGAACAAGAGGACAAGAGGAACAAGAGGAACAAGAGGAACAAGAGGAACAACAAGTCTGGCGACAAGAACGGCAACAGCAACAGCAACAGCAACATCGATTCCTCGTGAGAATTCATCAACTTGAACAACAACATGTCGTTGGCCGTGTTGAAGTTCCCTCTCTGCCTCTTCCTCATGCTGGTAGCAGGAGCAGAGTGTCAAGAACTCCTGATCCACTTGAAGTTCGATGAAACCGGGGGTCAGAGTTCCTTCCAGGATTCCTCGAGCCACAACAAGAATGCTGACTGCCGACTTTCAGGCGCTTCCTGTCCGAGGTCAGGACAGCAAGGAGCCGTTGGCCTTGCAGTTTACTTCGCCGCATCCTGCCCACGAGACACGAGCACCTACCGCGATGACTGCGAGTACACGGATGCAGTCAAGTCATACAACTCACTTGCGCCAGGGCAGAAGACAGACTGCTTCTACAGCAATCAGAAGCGGATTGAGATGCTCAGCAAGTACATCACTCAGTCAGCCACGTGCGGCAGTGCCGTCAGGTTCGACCCCGTGCAGATTCACGATGGGACGGTGGCCATGTGGTACAAGGAGTACGGGTCGAGAGACAGCTCGAGGGGCTGGGACCTCAGCCTGGTAGGAGGAAGCGCGTTCGTCATGGGACGTATCGGCCCTGCTCACTGGGGAGGATACTGGTGCGGTCATTGGCACCTTGCTTTGCCTGACGGGTACGCGGGAAACTCGCTCAAAGGCTGGGATCACCTATCCTGGCACCACCTCGCCTTTGTGTTTGCGGGGGATACCGTCGTGATGTACCTGGACGGGTCCAGAGTCCTCATGCTCGCCGACGCCGGGAGCTGTAGCAAAGAGCTCTCCTTCCTCGGCAAGCGGACTGTGAGGTACGACCAGCAGGGCAACAGCGTGCGAGGTGTTGAGTGGTCGGGAGGGTTGGACGCCAGGAAGGTACAGGACACGCCAGGAGCGATCAACAACATGCTAAAGGTGAAGGAATGGAGCACAAACTACCTCAAGGGCCTCGTCGATGACTTCCGGGTGTACGACCGTCCTCTGACTGAGACAGACATTCGAGGCATCATGCACTGAGGTCGAGAGACCTACCGGAGCCTCTGGCGATCAGTTGCTAATGTGGGGATGAGAAGAGTTTTTGTTGACTTGGTTTGTGTTTGATTCTTTCTTTCGTCTTCCATTCGATCACAAAGAATATCGACGTGTTTGCTTGTTTCCTCCTCCGCACTCCCACCGCAAACCTCCTCCTCGGATCTCATTGCACCACCTGTTACCCCCAGAGCGTTCGCTGCAGCAGGAGTAACCATTAGAGTTTCCTCCTCTCGGCTTCGCTGCGAACGTCTCCATAGTCGCGGTCGGTCACGCGCTTGCCCGTCTCAACGTAGTACTGATCGTCGTGATCGAGGATGCGATACCTTGACAGCCGTCAGGGAGCCGTCAGGGAGCGACTTCACTTACATCCATACCACCATCCCCACAAACGCAACAAGGACGGCAACCACTGCTCCGGCAACCTGCTCCTCCTGTCAGGCACCAGACGCTGCAGGCCGTGGAGACCTGGGAGAGGACGATGATGAATGCGAAGGCGAGGAGCAGATGGAAGAATTGCTGCGTCTGACTCCACGCAGAAGGCATGAGGATACAAGATTCAAGCTTTCTTGGTCAAGAGCTGAACCGATCAGATTAAAGTGAAGAACAAAGAGATAGAATTGAGGATGATGTAGTATGTTTGAAGTGGTTGAGATGATGGCGGTGATGATGTTTTGAAGTAAACTTGTATGAGAACTTGACACTGTTGTTGACATAGACCATGATTGAAATGCCTCTCTCTTGTTCTCAAATAAGTTTACAGGATGCAACCTCTGACAAGACTGATCTTCGATCAAACATGTGTATGTAATGTGTGAGGGACATAGGGAGAGGGAGGGAGAGGAAGATGGGTAGTGAGAGAGAATGCATGTTTTACCTCTTTCAGATTCATTTGTATCACCTTAATCTTTCTCTTCATCATCTTTCTCTTAATCTTGCCCCTCATCATCCTCTGCTATGTACTCGGTCTCATTGGAACTTTTCTCTCACCGTCATGCAAGTCTGACCTGTCCCTGATCCCACATGCATGCTAAAACTCTCAGCTGTTCATGTGTACAAAGAGACAATAACTTGCTCCTCTACATCCTTGGCTTCAACTCCTCCCTTCCTGTGTCCTCCTTCTCCCCCACGCTCTTCATTCCTTTCTCTCACACTGTCTTACCTACGGAAACCATGTGATACGCTATCCATTTGCTCTCCTCCCTTCCCTCCCCTCCATCCTCCCGGTCCCTCCCCCTCCCCCTCTTCCCTATTCCCTATTCTCCGGTCAATAAATTCATCATCTACTGCCTGGGCGGCATCCTGGTAGCAACGCGGTGCTACAGTAGAGATGAAAGGGGGAGGGGAGCGAGGGAGGGAGGGAGGCAGGCAGGCAGGCAGGCAGGCAGGTAAGAGAAGAGGAACGAAGGGAAGGAGGGAAGGAGGGAAGGAGGGAAGGAGGGAAGGAGGGAAGGAGACAGACGGTAGAGTTGAGGACATCATTACAAGTTTGCCGTGAAAACGTTTTGAATGCAGCAAGGGAAACATGGAGGTAGAGGCTCGTGTACCATCACAAGGTCAACTGGTGCAAGGGACCTTATGAGAGTGGTGCGAGCATACGAGGAGAGAACATCCAAGATGAACGAGAGGAGGAGGAGGAGGAAGAGGAGGAGGATCAAGGAAAGTTGAACGAGAGGAGAAGTGAGGCATCGGAAAGAAATTCGAAGTGTTTCATATGATGTATTTACAACAACAAAAGAACAACTGCTAGATTTCTCCCTCAGCTTCAAACCAGCTCGCCGACGTAACCTGCAGCAGAAAAGTGACCAACAACAACTTTAAAGCTTTATGATGATTCAAAGAATAACAAACAACGTCAACACACAAACAATCTAGCATCTTCCTTACTTTTTTCCAGCTCCTCCAACTTCACTCCCATCTTGTTCCTGTTAGTGTTCCCGTCGATCTGCTGTAGCGGCAGCCTCCCCTGCCGCATGCCCAACGTCTTGCTCCCCTTCGGCTGCTGCGGCTGCCCGCGCACGATCGGAAGGATCCCATCCCTGTTGACAAGCACGCACCCGCAGGTTGTCTTGACCTCGGGAGCGAAGTGATCCTTGCTCGTTGAGAAGATAGTGCATAGCCGCGTGCTCCTCGACAGCCCGATGCCGTGCTGCTGCGCCTCGTGTCCTCGGAACACGTAGCTCACCCGGTGCTGCTCCATGAAGATATCGAGCGTCTTCTCCCCGAAGCACGAGCATCCTCGTGACGACAGCCCGAACCCCTGGCTGTCCAGCTGCTGCTGTACCTCCACCGCCGTCTCCCGGTCGGGCGGCACCGGGTCCGACCACAGCATGGAGTGGACCATGTCGCCGCGCCGGACGAGCTTGAGGGGGTTGGGCGTCTCGTTCACCATCTCCAGGCTCGCCCCGGGCTGGCAGAGCTCCTTGGGGATGCCACCATGAACGCAGAAGACTCGGTTGGCGACGCGGGCGGCGAGGGGGAGGGTGTCGAAGAAGCAGTTAACGCTCTCCCACACCGTCCGTCCGTCCGCGTCTCCGAAGATCCTCAGGCACTGGTGGAGGAACGAGCCCTCCCTGTACGTCTTGATGTTGCCGTTCACCTCCCGAGTCTCGTGGTTCCCCCTTATCATCCACCACTTCCTCGGGTTCAGTACCTTCTGCGCCATCATGTACGCCACCACCGGCAAGCTGTCCGCCCCCCGGTCCACAAAGTCCCCGAGGAACAGAAAGTCCGCACCCTGCGCCTCCGGGCCTGCCGGCCAGAGGATCCTACGGAAGAAGGTCAAGTCCAGCAGGTTCCCGTGGATGTCCCCCAGCACGTAGCAGGGGGCCGGGATCTCGAGCATCCGCGGCTCCTTCAGCTGGATGTTAGCTGCAGCCTCGGCCACGTCGAGCACGAGGTTCTTCAGCATCTCGCGGTCGACGGGAGGAGGCTGCGTGTTGTTGGCGGTATGGTCCATGAGGGGCTCGATGAGCTGCACCATCTCCCTCGCCCTCCGCACCTCGAAGGACTCCTTGCTGGTAGGCATCGGGCTCTCGCCGTCGAAGAGGAGGGTGGGCACCTGGTGTAGACGAGGTGAGAGGAGGAGGAGGAGGAGGAGGAGGAGGAGGAGGAGGAGGAGCGGGGATTGTTTGACAGACCTGGCAGGTATCAAAGCTTCCGGGAGAGAAGGACTGGGCCACACTGATGGACTTGGGGGAGAAGGTGAAGTCCCGAGCGTCTGCCTGCTCGGAGAGGACGAGGTCGCGGACCTGGTTCATCTTCCCCTGCTGCGCCAGCCTCGCGATTTCTGACGCCAACCTCGCCACCTGGTCCATCTCCCCCGATCGCACAGCATCCAGGAGCGAAGACTTGACGGGAGAGAAGCTGCTTTGCTCCTTCTGCATGAGACCTGATCCATCTCGTCATGGTCCTCCTCCTCCTCCTCCTCCTCCCTGCCCTTCAACCATCCTCTCTCCTCCTCTTCCTCCTCAACTTTCTCACCTGGGCTGCGGAAAAGAGCCTTGGGCGTGGGTCGGGTGGCATTCCCAGAGCTGGGAGGGTGCGAAGTGGGGGTCCCGGAGGCTTCTTTCTCGCCCTGCAAAGCAAGTGAGGGCAAGGAGAGCCATCGAAAACGTCGCACATGCTTGCTGTTGGTGTGCCCTCGCACGAAGCTGAGCTGGAAGTCTTCTTTGTTCCTCCTGCTCGCACGATCAGTTAGGACACGAAGTCATGCGGTCGAAGGACGAAGACCTAATCCCGATGAGAACGGAAGTCCCGGGCACCCCGAGGATGGAGTTCTTGATCTCAATCTGTCAAAAAGTTCACAAGGAGGCAAGGAGGAGGAGGAGGAGGAGGAGGAGGAGGAGGAGGAGGAGGAGGGCAGGCAAGACTCCTACCACGCTCCTCCCCAGGGCGGGCACATGGTCGACATGGAGGATCTCGTCGTTGACTTTGAGCAAGTTGGATCGCTCAGCCGCTCCCCCCGCCACGAGCTCAGTGACGAAGCACCTCCCCTCCTCCGCACTCGAGCACTTGGGGTGGGACTGGTGGGGATCAGTTGGGGTCGACGAGAGCCTCAAGCCCAACCCTGCGATAACTACCGACCCATCTCCGTTCGGCGTCATCTGCATCAACATCATCGTGAGTCGCCACCACGCGCCCTCGCGTCTCTCATCGTCACTTCTGTCACAGGTCCTACAATGGCACTTATTGTACATGACCTCTTTCTCTAACCTTTGGCTCAAGAAAGACTTTGGAGAGACAAGGGACGGGAGAAAGACAACAGGACTATCATCGAGCCCCCTCAGTTCAAGAGCACGTCCAGCATTCAATGATTTGAACTGTCTCCTTGTTTCTACACCATTTATTTCGTCCTATGTATCGATTGGAGAATACATGAGTTGTTCTCATCTTCGACAATCGACCAACAGTAAGAACCTTCTGACCGTATGCTTCCTACTAGATCCTCATCCTCTCTCACTGTTTCTGCTTGAATGCCGATCCCTACAGTTGTACTTCCTCCTAGAGCGCTACATCTCATTCTATCTCTTGTACATCATCGCTTTCCTTCTCATCGTTTGTTCTCGTCTGTTCCATCCTCTGTCCTCTGCTGTGCAACTTCTTCTTATCTTATCTCCTCCCTTGCCTTCTATCCCGCATCTACATTCTTCCTCAAGTTCTTTGTATCCCTCCTCTCGCATCCCTCCCGATCCTGCTTGAGTCCCATCTCTTTCTCTCTCCCCACCTCCCTCCCCGGCTCCCTCCCTCCCTCCCTCCCTCCTTCTCTCACACCTCCTTCCTCTACTTGTACATCCTTCGCTCCTCCTCTCCCTCCCCCGTCGCCCTGCCATGCTCCCTCCCCCTTCCGAATCTTCGCTCTGCATGCTGCCCTTCCACACCTTGCTCTGCTAACGGTATTCCAGTAGGGTCCCATAACCCTTCACCCCTACCCTTCAAGTGAGGATATACGTATAGATCTGGGGTTTCTACACCATGGGGGTGGGTCATCTCAGAGGGGTGGTAGGGTAATAGGCGTGGAAACTTTGAAAAGACAACGGAACAAAATAAAAGTGTTTTAATTCAAATATCGGAAGTTGAGAACAAGTTGAGGCTGAGCGATCCCGACAGTCGAACAACCAACTGACGTCAGTGACTACACACTTCAAGGCTTTCAAGTACACATCCCGGGGCGGCCGCCGGGCCTCAGTCCGAGGCCCGGGCCTGGCGCCGCCGATCGGACCGTGACAGGCTCCGTAGGACTCAGGGCCATGACCGTACAGTGATCGGATCACTGTACGGTCCGAGTACCGTATGCCCGGGTAGTCGGCCCGGGGCCCGGCCGCAACTGAAGGCTTCCCGGAGCCTGAGTCCCAGTCCGGGAACTTCGCCACCCGGGCCCGGCGTCACTACGGTGAGCTGCTGATCCTGATGATCAGTGACAAACTCACGGTCACCGTCACGGTTTAGGAAGCCTCACTACGGCAGTACGGCGGTACCGTACTACCGTAGACGGTACGGCACGGTTGGGCGCATCGCCGTCACGCACCGGAATGATCCGGTGCTACGGCATGCTAGCCTGGTACCGTCACTAATCGGTGATCGAGTCCAGTGGCATCGGCGTGCGACATTCGAAGAATGAGTAAAGGGTTCAATTGACGATTTACAGATCTAAAGGAAATAGAGGGCCTTGCAAGATGACTAGAATACGTAAGAGGAGTGATAGCAAGGTGAGTGTTGGCAAGGTCAAGAAAATCCCTCCAACCCCAGCCATTGCAGCCTGCAAGCTCGAATAGCTGATGCTGAACACACAAACCTGGTACTTCTACTTGCGACCTCCACGTTCCTTCATGCCGACCATCAGGTTCTCTCCCTCGAGGAAGTTGTAATACGCGATGGACATGTTGTCCTTCAGCACGCCGATCTTCACAGTGCTCAACTTCATCTTGTTCGCCGGTAGCCCGCCCAGGTAGCTGGTGAGTTTGTCCTTGAGATCCTTGATGGTGCAGTTTGTTGCGATGCTGTTGAGCATGACAGTCTGACCGTTGAAGTTGAACTTGGAGTTTACCTCCTCCTTAGGAACCAGCACCTTGACCGTGATCGGGTTCGGGTGGTTGGCAGCCCACGTGTGCTCCGGATAGAGGTTTGCCTCAGCCTTGGCTCGCTTGGGATCTGACTCAGCCGGCATTCCCGGCATCATTCCCGGCGCTCCAGGTGGCATCCCCATCATGCCGGGCGGCATACCGGGTGGCATACCGGGCGGCATACCGGGCGGCATCCCTTGCATCCCGTACATCATGCCACCTGGTGGGCCAGGAACTGGAGGGCCTCCTGGTCGCATCATCATCATCCCTCCCGGCCCAGGCATCATTCCTCCCGGTCCAGGCATGCCTGGAGGAGGACCGCCGTGAGGCATAGCGTGCATGGGAGGTGCATGTTGAGGAGGAGGAGGAGGTTGCTGCGGTGGCATCGAGGACACCGGAGGCGGAGGAGGAGCTTGGCTGGCCTGCGACATGTCTGGCCTTGGGGGCGCAGCTCCGATAGCGCCGGCAACCTTCTCTTCCGCACGCTTAATGATGTCTGCGACATTCTTCTCCGCCTCTTGTCTCTGCTGCATGAGTTGCTGCGCCTCCATCGCTGCTCTAGCAGCTGCCTGCTGTTTGGCTTGGTTTTGAGCTGCTCCATCTCCCTGCACAGAAAGCCCATCAAACAAGGAGGATGAGGAGGGGAGAAATTTACCTTGCCGTCGCCCTTCTTCTTCGAGTCTCCAAACACCTCCTCGTCTGTTCCGAAGATGTCCTTACGCTTAGCTGCCATCTTTGCCAAACTCTGCCCAACCTCCACGTGAGCAGCGAGGGTGTCTTCCTTCTCTCCAGGCTTGACGATACCACTCTTCTCCTTCCACTTGGGATCCAACAAGGCGATACGCATATGCTCCGCCATTTGTGCAACCGGCACTTGTTGGCCTGTGATGGGAGAGATCATGTAGGCAGAAGAGCCCTTTCCTCCATCCGCAGACGGCGCTGGCTTGGAGTAGTTCTTCACGATCTTCATTGGTCCATCCAGGTCTTGTTGAAGGATTTCTTGTTCTGGTTTCTCTTCTGGCGGAGGTTGAGCAACTGAGGTGTCTTCCTCCATGTCCATGTCTCCTCCTTCATCCATCTCCATGTCCGCCTGCTCCTCCACCACCTTCTCCTTCACAGGCTCGATTGCTGTGTGGGCCCGCAGGCGGAGTGCCCTCAGTTCGGATTCGGAGAGAGGAGGGGGGAGGTCGGCGTCTTCGCTGTCCTTGAAATCAATCATTTCAACCACCTTGAAGTCATGCCAGTCGATTGTCGCCGCGATCTCTCGCTCTCTCTTCGCCTGGTCTTCAGTCATCTGCCTCTGCTTCTCCACGTGGGCCTCCCAGTCTAGCTTCTGGAATGCTCGCTCAAGCACGTCCACATGGTCTTCAGCGTCCTTTTCCAGCTTCTCGATGATTCCCTCCGGCGGGTTCACGACCTTGGTGTAGGCCTCCACCAGCCCCGTGAAGTAAGAGAACAAGTAGTGATGCCCCTTCAAGAAGTCAAACTGCGGGTTTCTGCTCTCTCGCGTCAGCAGGCCATTCAAGAACGAGCGGCCATTCAGCGCAACGTACTGGGCCGTGAGCTTGATAATGTCAAGGTCAAGACTTGGGATGGTCAAACCGTCAGGAGGTTTCACGGTGTAAGCATCAGGAGGAGGCTCCTTGAGAGGCCGTTTCTGCTTCTTCTCTATGGTGGCCTTGGCCTCAATGGTCACGGAAACTTCCTTCTTGTCTCCAGCACCTTCCGCCTGATTGTCCTCCGGCTTCGACGAAGCCACTTCTGGTGCGGCTGGGCCCGAGGACTCTCGCGCTTCTGCGAGCTTCTTCTGATAGTAGGGATAGTAAGGAGACGTCGACTGAAGGAAGGCAAACTTGGTGGTATTGCGCTCATTGTTCAAGATCCTCTGCTCGAACTGGGGACCGTTCTTGGCGACGAAAGAAGCTGTCTTGTCGACGATGCTCTTCATGTCAGGAGGAGGAACAATGATCCCGATCGTCTTGATGGAGGATTCTGGTCCTGTATCTCCTCCTCCTCCTTCTCCCGCCATACCGCCCATGCTCGCGTCCGGCATTCTGCTGCCGCGGCTCGTGGTTCTACCCCTACCCTACCCCCTATCAATACCCCACCCCCTGCTTATTGACCCCTACCACCTGAATGATGACCTCCATCATCGAATTTCACCCCACCAAAATAATTTACCCACCGGGTGAAATATGTGCAAATTACCCTACCAATTCATACTTTGTACCCTACCTATGAAATGAATCATACACCCTACCACCCTTTTTTACCTGAACCTTCACCCCCACCCTGCACGTTACTCTCACCCACCCTGCCTGACAAAAGCAGTGACCGCATCCCCGCTCATACCCACAAGTCCTGCAAATGCTGCCCTTCAAAGCTTCTGCGGGAAGGAGCAGGAGGAGGTCGAGGTCGAGGACGAGAAGAAGGATGGGAAGAATGACGAGGAGCAGCAGGATCAGAAGTAGAAAGAACACGTCAGGTGTTGATGTCACATGAGAGAAGACATGACGGGTTGTTTCATGTGGGGATTCAGGGTATTGAGGTCAGCGGGTATGAATGTAGAGTTTAACAATCCTTGTACATCAGCATCAGTTCTGCTCGTATGTTTAAGGCAGCAGATAGCGACAAAGGAAGATACTGAAGTGCCGGTGTATTCCATCATGCGGTGTCATTGATGGTCAGATAGTTGGAAAAGCGATCAAGGACATTTCTTTCCTTTCATTACAGACGTCGTAGGCAGAAAGGGAGCGTGTGGACCAGCGAAGAACAAGCGTTTCCTGGAATCAGCTGATGAGTTCAACCTGCAGGTTTCACGTTGCGCTCTTGATCGATCGGGGGAAACTGGAAACTTTTCAGTGGGACGACATCGGGGCTGTGCTCGTCGAGACCTCTTGATTGCGGGCCATGTCGCAAACAAACGCTGCCGTTGCTCCTTTTCCTCCTCCTCCCAAGTTTTACGAGGAGTTCGAGCCTCATTCGAACAAGGAGTTTCAATGCCCCGCGCCTCCTCCGCCCATAGAAGGTGGACCACCTTGGCTGGACCCTTCTGGGGGTCCTCAAGGGAGAGGTTCAACTGACGCTAGCTGCCAGGGCCTTACGTCATGTTCGGAACCTTGTACGATACTTCTTTCGCGCCACAACAGCCCCATGCTGCTCTTGCCGAGAAGGTCTCTCGCCATCGCCGTGCTAGTACATGTGACTTGATGGCAGGGGTTGGAGCTGGGCATCTCAGACAGCGAATCGCAGTCGCCGATTGCCATCATGAGGCTGTTGAATAGGGCACTTCCAGGTTGATAGTGAACCCTCGCTATTGCCTTGCTGTGTTTTGGCCGCAGACTTGCAGCTTGCTGTCTTCCTTGGTGGTATCTTGACTTTATTGACTGCTCTCTATTGCAGACGAATATTTGAACCTTTTGAAGCTCATGATCGGTGAGAGTTACTCCGAGTCCTTTGGGACATGGCTGATCAGTTTGCATGCAGAACGCCCAACGCTCTGCCGCTCTGAAGAAGATCAGAAGAAAATTCGAGAGATAGACGAGCAGGTAAACTGAGTGTGTGCTGGGGCTGATGACAAGCTAAGATTTCATCCTCCTGTTTGTTCTCGCAGCGAGGAAAGATTGAAAGCATCATCGGAGCGATGCATCTCACCCTCTCCCGATTTCGGCCATATCAGGCAAGACAGGCGTTGATCACAACACTGCGCGCTCAGGTACCTTTCTCATGGGATGTGTTAGCATCGTAAGAGAGTTTTCTTAGGTAGAAAAACGTCGGGAAGAAGCGAAACAGCTCAAGTACATTGAGAGTTCGAACTTTGAGAAATCTTTCCTGACTCGCTCGAACTTGAAGGGAATGTCGAATGAAAGCTCAAGCTCTTATTTCCAATGCCTCCAAGCAGCTGAAGGATGCGGGAGAATCTCTTCAGAAGGCAAGTCAGGTTGGAACCTCAATCATGCCAAGTGTATTTGTTTCTGACGTGGGCGCCGTGTAGACCAAAGCTCAGATTCTTGCAAACGCAAGCGCGGTGAGTGATGACTTGTTGGGTTGTGTAACATGAGACTGACGGTTGTTGCTGGCAGTACGCGAAGAAGGACAGTGAGTCGTCGTGTCGTCCTCTCTCTGCTCCCAAGCTCACTGTGTTCTACTCAGCTGCGCAGCCCCCTGCTAGAACGCCCACACCTGCAGCAGTAGCTGCTGCTTCTGCTGCTGGATCATCGTCGGTGAATTCAACTGCAGCAGCGACAGACACAGAAGCAGCTCCATCAGGGGAGAAGGAGAAGGAGCAGGCAAGCAAAGACTCCGACGAGGCAAAGGATAAACGATCAGCTAAGGAGAAGGTGTCCCCTTGCCCGATGACTGAGCAAAGCTTGACATGTTGAAAGTGTGAAGAAGAGAATCAACGGCTCGAACAAGTCAAACGTCGAAAGACAGGTGAAGTAGTTTGATGGGAAAACCACACCTTTTTCTCTTACTCATGTCAACAGCTACACTCTTGAAGAAACTCAAGAGTTTAGATCGGAATGCAGTTCAGGTATCATTTCAATGCTGATGCCATGTTTGTAAGGAAACCCCCGCAGCCGGAAGCGACGAATGTGACTGCAGCTCTTGCTGCCGAGCCTAAAGAACCTCAGGAACTTGCGGGAGCGGCAGCAAATGACTCGGCAGAAGCCCCTCAAGCCGATGCTCCTCCGGCAGAAGCTCCGGCAGAAGCTCCTCCAGCAGACGCTCCAGCACAGGCTCCGGCAGAGGCTCCATCAGACCCTCCAGCAGAAGCTCCAGGTACCCCGATAACGTTGACTGTAAGATGCTTGACGCGCGTGTAGATGCGATGGATGTCTCGACGGAGGGAGGTCAGGAGCTATGCTCTCCTTTCCGTGCTGCCTGTGACTCTCTTCCAGGCGCATCGTGAGCTCATCAAGGACCAGAGGAGCAACGAGTTTGACATCGGCCGTTAGCCCGTCTGTCTGTCGTAGTTGGAGTAAGGATGGGATAAACAATGGAATGAAAGTGAGGGATAAGCTCGATTGACTCGTTACGGTCAGCTGCCGTCCTGGTTGTCACGTCCTGCACCTGTGTGAATGATCTCGATGTCCGGCAGTCTGATCAGCCGCTCAAACGGCAGCCGACGAGCATGAGCCCGCCTCGTCTCTGCCAGCCAGGAGCAGAACATGCGCGAGAGCACCTGCAGCCGCTGGGCGTGTATCCTCCGCGCAAACGAGATCATCTCCAGTCCCCGCGAGGCCGTCAGCTCCAGCTCCTCTTGCTCCTCCGTCATGTCTCTCAACACTGTCAGCGCGGCCTCCACGGTGGAGCAGAGGAGGAGGGCGGGAGGCTGCAGGTCGGCTCGTTCATCCATGTGCAAACTCTTAGAGATCGCCAGCCCCTCCTCGCACGTCTCGTCCACCAGCATCAGCAGCACCTTCATCGCCTCCTGCGCGTGCAGCAACCGTGACTTGTCGCTCTCAGCTTGCTGCTGCAGCTGGGCGATTTGGTTGAGGAAGTTGTGTTGGGCATGCTGAAGCTCCATCAGCTGCTCCTCGTGGTGCTCGAGCAGGACATGCAACTGCTCGTATGCCTCCCGCATCTCCTGCATGTCACCTAAGATCTTGTCCTGCTCTTGAACTGCAACCTCCTCACTTCTGACCTCCTCTCTTTCAACTTCACTTGTCTGTGTCGCCCTGTGCCCGAAGCTCTTGCGCTCTTGCTCCTTCGATGCATCGATGTCGAGCTTCATCTCGTCGATGAGACCAAACAAGTGCTCGCACTCTCTCAGGATGGCTGCTGCTGTTGTCCCCGCAACAGCTTCGAGTTCAAGTTCACGAGCATCGCCAAGACCCTGGAGAGGAGAACAGCCGTTGCCGTCCCCGAGCATGGAGTGTTCCAGTGCCAGCTGCTCAACACCACAACTTCGAGGATGCAGGAACCGTTTGCGATGAAAGACATTTGAGCGAGGAGGGGAAGGCGATTCATCGTCCCAGTCCCTTCTGATCGTTTCTCTGATCTTTCCTCTTCGGTACTCCGTCTCATCCACTTCGTCCCACTCACCCTCTCCGCCGCTCTTGGGGACTGTTCCTATCGTCCTCCTCCTCCAGCCTGCCGATGCTTGCAGCGGATTTCCGTCCTCGTTCCACGAGTAGTTGAGTCTTGGAGCAGAGAGCCTGGCCTGCATATCCTTCACCGCACTCCTCATCGCCTTGAGGGATTGATGCTGCTTCCTCGGTGTGGAGACAGAAAGTGGCAGCGACAAACTAGGACCATTCATGGTTGCAACCCTGCAAGCAAGTCAGCCATGACAGAAATGGACTGCGAAACAGCGCTGTCCCATTCTCACTCTCAACCTCCTCCAACAAGCATCACGATGCTTCTGCACCCACAAGATTCTTTCTCTCTCCGTCTGATATGACCATGTACAAGATCATCCATCCACCTTCATCTCCTCATTGTGACCATACGGCTCGGCATGCTTTGTTGCACACCCAACGTCTCGAGAGTCAGTCTCCTCGGTCTTACTTTCTCCCACCCTCCTTCTCGTCAACCATGGTCACAGGGTTTCTCTTTACGGTCCTCCTCCTCCCTCCCCCTCCTCTCCTCTCATCCTCCTATCCTGCAGCAGCATCTGGCCTGGTTTGATGACCGAAGCATTTTTCGCGGGGGCATGCGTGCAGTCACGGGGCCTCGGGGCCTACGGTGACCCGGCCGGCTATCCTAGTGTACCGGGCCTACTGGTACTGATTGCCCTCGTACTGATGTTTAACTTAACTTTGAGTAAAAGTAGTACCACTGACGGTCGACTCTCAGCCGCCGCTGCGGAAGTGCTTCCGCGCGCACAGTGGCCTCCCGGGCCGGAGTACGGTCTTCTTTACTCAAAGTTAAGTTAAAAAATCACTGTACGAGCACAATCAGGTGAACTTAGAGCCTGCTGGCTTGATCCTGACATTGGGTCATACGGCGGGAACTGAACTCGGAAAGAAAAGACGGCGAGACCCACAAGTTCAACCAAACTTCAACCAAACCGGAACCCTCCTTGACTCATCCCGAAAGATCCTGGACCGGATGCGTTAATCAATTTCTAATCTGATCGGAACTGGACGCCCGGCCGCCGCCCGGGCGGGCCGGGCCACGCTGCTGGGCCTGCCCGGCCAGTCACGGTCAGGGCGGCGCCGATCATCCGTGCGGCCCCGGCCGGATTGTGACCGCACTGCAAGGGATGGCAGCCTGAGCGGCTGAGGCAGGCTGGAATTTACATAACTTGAGTAAATTATCCTACTGGGAGCTCTATGGACCCCTTGAACACCCCACGTTTCTCGATGAAGGGCGGGGGTGGGTTGATGCAGGGAGATGGAAAAAATGGCGGGGAAGGCGGAGGGGAGGAAGAGGGGAGAGGAGGAAGATGTGGGGCAAATAAAGGCAGGACTAGCAGAGATAGGAGCAAGAGAACAGATTGTAAGACATCTGGTGTGAGAAAAGAAGCTGTGTTGGTCTGGGTTGGAGCAGGAGGCGAAGGCTTCGTGCTTTAAAGATTCTACTGGACTTGAGCAGAGGCGAAGGGGGGCGAGCAAGGAGTTAGATGTAGGATTTTGCAGATCTTGTGTTGAATTCACACATGGTTCATTTCTATCTCACTGTTTGTCGTGAGTATCAAAGGACATTCAATCCAGATGAGCGAGTTGTTGACTGTTTTTGCAAGCACTCACTGACTAGATTTCCAACCATGATTTGAGCTCATTGTTACAGGTCCAATAGGACTTGAGGATCATTGCTGTCTTCAGCAGCAGAGAGATGGATCTCCTTTGTCTGATATGACCGAGCACTTTCACGGCGTTGGGCTGTTTGGCGGCATGGGATAATATAAGCTGACGTAATACAACAATCGCGATGGAAGCGATACTATGGCAACCAGGGATGGACGACGAATCCAAGGCAAGTATCAAGATGTGTGGACATGCTCAGTGTGTATGCGCTACAGAGACTCTTGATATCCACAGCCAAGAGCCTGTGCTGCCTCCTGGGTGAGCTGCTGGCACATGGTTGACACATGACACTGATTTGAACATTCAGGTTCTTCCTTATAGTCAAACGAGCTTCACAGGAGGAGAAGTTTGTGTTGCAGTGGATGATTCCTGGGCATGTGGATCCCGTGGCAGAGAGTTTGATCGACAAGACTCTGAATCAGGCAGAAACAAGCTCCCTGCTCAACGCCAGGAAGAGCCACGATGAGCATGTCGATCATTTCATTCAGCACAAGATCAATGTCAAGGCCTTCTTGTTCGCCTTGAAGAAGAAGCTTCAAAGGCAGAAGGAGGCTGAAGCCAAGCACCTTGAGAACGGAAACCACTGTGATGATGTGCAGCCGCCCCGAGGACATCACAAACACTCTCGGCGATCCAAAGGCTCCCGTACAAGCTCGTCCGGTCAGAGATCCGCGTCCTCTCAGCCCTCCGCACACCCCCGGGGCGGAGGGCCTGGCATGCATCGCAACTTGTCGCCGACTGATGAGCATCATCCACAGCCGTTCGACAGGAGGAGGAGCAGCGGAGGTGCTGGGGGCGACCCCAACTTTATGAGCCAGATGATGAAAAGCTGGCGCAAGGACAGCGATGATGTGGGGAATGGACACGAGAGTCACTCCATGCACAACCTGCATGACGGGCATGCTGCTCTGAGCAGTCACGGGACAGCAGACAGGCTGCAGCAGGATCACGACGACGGAATGATGAGCTTTCCCGAGATTTACGATCACTTCAGCGTTCACTGCGACGAGCCCGTAACTGAGCATGATGGACCTCATCGAATGCAGGAGAGGAGGAGGAAGGAGGAGCCCCTTGCGAGCTCCAAGAGGAGCCGGAGCTGGGACGAAGACGGGCAGGAGGGAAAGCACGAGACGCCTTGCAGTCTCGATGTACTCGCAGCGTTCTCGACGGGCCGAGGAGCTTTCGACAAGCCGACGTTCAAGTGCCAGCGCTGCGGGAGATCGTTCGTGTACCAGAAATGGCTGGAGAGACACGAGAGGATTTGCTGCGGCGAAGAGCTGATGAGCAGGACAGACAACCTGAGCCGCGGAGGGAGGGGGAGGGGAGGGAGAGGACGAGGACGAGGATTTAGGAGGAGCTACGAGCGCGACCGGGCGCGGAACTCTTATGGGATGTCGGAAGCGTCGAGTTCAAATCGATTCTCTAATGACTATGGCGAAAGGAGATACCGAGACTGAGAAGAGGAGGAGAGGAGAGGAGAGGGAAGAGCAGGAGAGAGAAGCGGGAAATTGTGGGGGAGCGGAGGGGAGTGGGAGGGAAAGTTGAGAGGGAGAGGTGGAGAGGAATCGACGTAAGTTATTTATGAGCGATTTGCTTTGAATGAAAGGTTTGTGAGGTAAAATGTGCTGTTAGTGCCCAGAGATTGAAGCATGCATGTCTAACGAGAATCAAGTCCAGAAATGATAGGTTGCAACCGAAGGAAGAAAGCAGAAAATAAGAAGAGAAGATCAGAGAAGAGAAACGAAGGGATGTAGTCATGAAGATATGAAAGATTTATTCCTTCTTGGAAAATGAAATTGTTCTCAGCTTCCTGTGGCAAGAGCCAAATCGCTCCTGCTGCATCTTTTTGTATTGTTTGTCTGATATCGATGCTGATTCATGTTTTCTTGTCTGTTGTTCCCTATATATACACTTACATTCTGCTTTTTCATCTGTTTGTTGCTTTCAAGATTGCTATCCCTATGTTTCCATGCTTCTTCTACCTTTCATCGCTTCTTCATCATAACCATCCGCGCAATGACGTCCTGCAGCAAAACAAAAATCCTTCAACCTCCTCCTCCTCCTCCTCCTCCTCGATCCTCCTCCTCCTCCTCCTCGATCCTCCTCCTCCTCCTTGATCCTCCTCCTCCTCCTCCTGCTCCTCCTTGATCCTCCTCCTCCTGCTCCTCCTTGATCCTCCTCCTCCTCCTCCTCCTCCTCCTCCTCCTCCTAGCCGTAGCACCACTTCTCTGTCCTCTTCTTCCGCCACTCTCTCGCGCCCTCCATCTGTACCTCAGCTTGCTCTGGTCGGAGGACGGCAATAACAGAGTAGAGCTCATCTCTGACAAGACCGTGAGGGAGGGGAGAGGAGGAGGAAGAAACGTACCTCGTGATCTTGTGCAGGGGCCTTACCGTCTGATCAGGAGGAGGCGACTGAGGTCCCTTCGAGGGTGGAAAATCCCCTTCCTCCTCAGCTTTCCGTCTCTCCACTACCACTACCTGCTGCTTCTGCTGCTTCTGCTGCTGCTGCTGCTGCTGCTGCTGCTGCTGCTGCTGCTGCTGCTGCTGCTGCTGCTGCTGCTGCTGCTGCTGCTGCTGTTCCTCCTTCTCCTGGCGTAGTAATGTTGCGGTCTGCACAGGAGAAGGTTTCCTTGCGTCCTCCATTTTGCTTCTTTCTTCCGTTTCACGCTGCTGCTGCTGCTCTTCCTTGAGATCCGCTGCCTCTCCACGAGCTGCTGCTTTGTTGGATGTCTCCTCCTGCTCCTCCTGTTCCTCCTCCTGTCCGACTGGGATTCCCTCATGCTGTGGGCCATCCACTTTTTGCCGCTCCGACGTGCTGAGATTCTTGGTTTCGTCCTCCTCCCATTCTTTCTTTGTCCGCTCTCCATGCTTGTTTGCATCAAATTCAACCTCCTCCTCTCCCTGCCAGTCGACCTCCCTGTCTACCCCTCTGTCCTCTCCCTCCTCCTCCTCCCTCCTCTCATCTCTGACCTCGCTTCCCGCATCCCCTATTTCGCTCGCTCGCTCGCTCTCCTTCACTCCCTTCGCTTCTTCTTCCTCCCTTTTCTCCGCTCTTTTCTCGTGAAGCTCCTCCTCCAACTTCTTCTGCGCCTCCTGCTCCTCTTTCTCCTCCTCCTCCACCAGCTTCTCCAGCTTCTCCGAATCTTGCTTGTCGTCCTCTTTGGATTTCTGCTGCAGCTGCCGGGCAGTATCGTCGACCTGACGGTCTTGAGAGCTGCTGAGCGCATGCTGGACTTTCCTGGCGGTCGGACGAGGAGAGGCGGAGAGGAGGCGGGGGGAGGGAGGAGCGTGGGGGAGGAAGGAGACGGATTTAGAGGCAAGGGAGGGAAGGGTGGTGGAAAGTTTCTCAGCTCCTCCTTTCCTTGATAGACAAATGTGTTGAGCAAGTTTTGTCTTCCCTTCGTGAGATTTTAATATGAGTGAGGAAAGCAGAGCACGGGGGACGGCAGACCAGGAGGAGGAGGAGGAGAGGAGGAGAGGAGGAGAGGAGGAGAGGAGGAGAGGAGGAGGAGGCTCTCACCATTTCAAGCTCAATCTTCAACTTTCTCTTCTGCTGCATGATGTTTTCCTTCACTTTCTGCATCTCTTCAGCCACAGCCTTCTCCTCCTCCATCTGCCTGATCCTCTCTTTCCTCTGAAACTCGGCGATCCTTTTACTCCGCTCCACGACCTCCATCTGCGCCCGTGTTATCTCCTCCTCCTCCTCCT